AAATGCAGCTCTGCTCTCTGAGTCATTCCTGTCTGCAGCAAGCTCCATGCTCAGCAAAAGACCTACATAAATTAAATCCTTAATGACAAAAATTAGTCTTTCCCATGCGTGTGCCTTGTCAGTCAGTTTTGCTGTGGACTGGGAGGTCCTTGTGGCTCAGCAGAACTTAAAGAACCTCTTGTGCATTCCAGGAGTGAAAATCCAGATCCAGTTGCTAAGTGGAGAAAATTTGCACATCAGGGATTTCCACAGGACAAAGGTGGGAGACATTGCCACGGGGATAAGCAGCCAGGTGAGACACAGACTGGAGTAAGTGCATCACTTGAGGAATGATTTCTTCCCTGCTGCAGCCTCAGAACCCCTGAATGCCAGAGAGACCCAGGAGTGGTTCAGGGGTCCTTAGGACACCTACAGAAGCAGAACCTCAGTGCTGCTGTTTTGAGTGTGGTACCAGTGGATGTCTTCTGAATCACAGAACTCATTAAGGTTGGAAAAGACCTCCAAGATCATCAAGTCCAACCTTTGACCAAGTCTCACCAGGCCTACTAAACCATATTTCCAAGTGCCACATCTACTCATTTTCTGAACCTTTTCAGGGATGGTGATTCTACCACTGCCCTGGGCAGCCTGTTCCAATGCTTATCCACTCTTGCAGTGAAAAAATTTTCCCTAATATCCAGTCTAAACCTAGTACAAAACCTGAATTGTAAGCCAGTGCCAATTGTCAGAGTGAGCACAGGGATCTGTATCTTAGAATACAGATATTCTGTGCTGCAGCTTAAAAAATCCTTCTCCTCAATTATAATCTCTTCCCCCTCTCCGTGAAGAATCACTATATAACTTTTCCATCATGAGCAGTAGCATCAGCTCAGGGAAATGAACTGTGTTTGGCTGGGGTGCTTCCAACTTGTTCTGCTGGAGATGTTGGCACTCTCCTGTGAACCTCACTGTCGGCTGCTTTGGCTGTTCCTGAAAGAAACTCTGGAGTGTCTGTGGGACTGTGACTCATCTGTGTAAAATGGGATCTAAAAGATCTCAGTGTAAAATGGGATCATCTCTAAAAGATGTTGCACCAGCCCAGAAAATGTTCCAGTGGTGCTAGTTCTCTCTAGACTGTTCTTGTGGACATCACAAAACAAAATACCTGGAGAGGAGCTCAGGGTGCCCAAACATGGGCAGCTCAGGGCCCCCCAGCCATGGCCCAGAGCTTGGGGAGGCACTTTGGCAGCAGGGTGGGCACTGCCTAGTCCAGTTCTGAGGTATTTCCTTAGGAGAGGAGTTCAGGATGTTCCTGCCAAGCGCAAGCCCCTCCCTGGGGGCTGTTCTTGCCTTGGGAAGCCGGGTGTGATGTTCTGGAGGAGCCTGAAAGTGCCACTGAGCTCTGTGTGTTCTGCCCCACAGATCCCCGTGCCTGCCTTCAGCCTGGTGACCAAGGAGGGGCAGCCTGTGCACTACAACATGGAGGTGCCCGACTCTGGCATCGAGCTGCAGTGCACCCTGGCCCCCGACTGCAGCGTCAGCTGGGCCTGGCGCGTCAAGCACGGCCAGCTGGAGAACAGGCCCTGAGCCCTGCCTGCTTTGGAGGTTTGCACTTTGTGCAAAGAAGGAATTGCAAAAGCTTCTGACCTCCCCTGCCATGGAGCACCAAATGCAGCGGCTGGTGTTCGTGCTGCAGCAGGATCACAGCTCGCTGCCCTCGGGCCTCACTTCTGTGGGCTGTTCTGATCCACTTCCAAGACATGTCCTGAGCTTAGACATTCCCCAGGACAGTGGGAATTACTTGTTTTGGGTGTGTTAGAGCTTGAGAATGGTAGGTGGAAATTCCTCGCTTTTCAGAGGAAGGAGGTTGTGCTTTTCAGGAGAGCAGGGCCAGCGGGTGAGAACTCTTGCTCTTGCTCCAAGGTGAGGTCGGTTGTTGCTGGGCTTGCCCAGAGGAGGAGGTTGGGTGCCCTCAGTGTGGCTGGGGTTGGTTGTGCCAAGGGGATCTGGCTGACTTCTTTCCAGCTGGAGGAAAAAACATTTCTGTAGGTTCTGGGGAGCATCATCTCCACCTCAAGCCTTTTTCATGGGGAGACTCCACTGCAGTCACTGTCTGGCTCTTGGTTTCACCTCCCATCCTTCCCCATAGTTGCTTCCTTCTTGAATCAGAAAAGAACTTTGTTCCCAGAAAGAGCTTTGTTTGCAGCTCCCACCTGCAGAGAGGGTGGTGCTCTCTCTGGTGTCCCTGGCAGGCAGGGCAGGAGAAGGGTACAGAATTCCATGGTGGGAGGGTGGAGGGGTTGTTTCTCCATCCTGTGCCCACCTCTGATGTGGGCCTTCAGGTGCACTGTCCCGTCCTTGGAGGAAGAAGGGACATCAGCTCTGTCAGCTGTGACAGGGCTGAATTTTATTACAGAGTTTATAAAAATCTCCCTCCCAGCTCCCAGTCCAGCCCAGTGCCCCAGTTCTGAGAGCTCAGCCTGGCCTCACAAGACTTCCCACTCCTCCCCTCACTTCAGACTGGGTTCACTGAGTGGGATGGGCAGCTGGGCTTGGGATGCCTTAAGCTTTAAACTGTTTTTTTAACTGATTTGTGAATGTTTGGAACATACTGAAACCTCACAGGTCAAGTTCAGGTGGGCGGGTGTCGATCGCCCTTCTCCATCGCAGAACGGATCCCGAGGGAGGTGTGAGCTCCGTGTGTGCTTGCTCAGGGCTGCTCCCAGGCCTGGCACACCTGGAAATCACAGTCCCTCCCCGTGGCTGTGGCTCTCCCAGAGCTCTGAGCAGGCACTCTGCATCCAGCCTGGGCACAGAAGCAGCTCCCAAAAGCCAAGGTAGGCTCTGCCAGATCTGTGCTGGTCTGGGAGACACAATGGGGCAGCAATGCTGGCAGTCTTCCCAAGGGAGGTTCACTTAGAAAATAGCTGGGAAAAGCTGAACTCTGAGCCTCCCTTTTTGAGGAGCAGCACTCCTTAAACAATGGATGCTCTTTGCCTTTGGTCTTCCAGAACATGGGCTGGTTTTGCTCCACCAGACATCCCTGATCAGAAAACTCAAGTTGTGATGTAAAAAAAAAAGTGAAACTCATGAAGAAAAATGAAACCTATCACCACTTTGGGTATAGTTTTAATAGCACTTTTTGTTCTAAAGCACTTAATACATTGTCCAAAATAGGCACCTAATTATATCTACTATACCACGTTCAGAGTCTTTTTAGTAAATAATTAAAACATTATGCACATGTCTTCCAGGAGGGAGTGGGGAAAGGGGGAGGATTGCTCGATTTCTTTTTTCAGTTGCCATAAACTACTAAGAGTTTAAGCTCTGGAGCAGGAGGGATCCAAGTGCCTCTTCCAGGGCTCCCAGGAGTTCCCAGCACGGGTTCAGTGCACGCCTGGCTCCTTTCCTGAGCTTCCTCTAAGGGGACAGGAGGAAAACTGTTGGTTGTTTCTGTAAGTGTGTGGTGATGTGTCAATCCCAAAGCATCGTGGGTTCCATCCCAAAGGCTGCACCTTGTGCCTCTGTTGCCTGGGGGATGCTCCCATGTCCTGGTATCCAGTTCCATGCCGAGGCATTGGGATTGAGCCCTGGAGCAGCAGGGAGGGAGCAGGAGGACTATCTGCAGGAGTCCTGGGCTCTGCAGCTGCAGCATTAACGTGAACTCAAGGGCAGGGAACTCTCCTGCACCTGGGATGTCCTCACAGGGCCCATGGAGATGTCTGTGTTCCCCGGTACCCTCATAGCAGCATTAGCCAGGATTCACCCTCTTTGTTGTGTCCAAAGCCTTCAGTCCTGTTTTGCTGCCACCACAAGTGCCCAAGTGAGGCTGCAGGTTCCCAGCCCACAAAGCCTGGCCGTGTCACTGCTGCCAGGGTGGGATGTGCTGTCACAGTCCCACCTGGGGACAGACACCTCGGCAGCTCCACAAACCACTGGTGCTTTCCCAGTCCCTGAGCTGGGGTTCTCCACTGGGACAAGCTCCAGGCTGTGCTGCCAGCCAGCCTGAGCTCTCCCTGCCTCTCTCCTACTGCCAGGACAGTTTCCTCTTCCCTTGGCTTGTCACTTTGCTGTGACAGGCACAAACAACCCGGCTTCCAGATGAAGGCAATACTGACAGCAGAAAGTCAGAAAGATTTGCATTATCCTTGTTCAAATTTGGGTGGAACTGTCAGGTTTCATAACGAATGTTAGGACAGAACCCCAGCTCAGGGTGGGGAGGACAAGTAGGAGGGATAAACACAGATGGCTCTTGTCGAGCAGCTCCTTCCGGAAATCTGGAAAAATCACTGTTGGTGAGGCGAGGTGGAGCTGAGGATGTCTTTGGGATGGGCAGTGGGGGAAGGTGCTGGAACAAGGAGCTTGTATGGAATGAATGACACTTTATAAAACTGTGATTTCTTGAAGTTAATGTTTTTGACCTGCATTTTCACAGGGAAAAAAAATAAAGCTAAAAAAAAAAAAAAATGTTTTGTTTGTTGTCGCTGCTGGTGGTTTGATGTGCTGTCCCAGAGAAAAAGATGGTGTCCAGGAAGAGGAGCCTGGTCTGATTAAACTCTGTTATATAGTAATTACCCTTGGGTTTGGGAGATGCAGGAGAAGTCAGGGAGGAGGCTTGGGCACCACCCAGGCTCCCCAGGGAGGACAGTTATCCCGAAACACATTTTTTGTGCTGCCATGCACCCACATGTCTGTGCTGTGAACAGACCTCAGAGCTGTTGTCCTTAAAAAACATGGTGGGTGGTTTGTTGCTAGAATTCCAGACCGGATTGTGTTGGAAGGGACCCTAAAGATGATCTCGTTCCATCCTCTCACCTCCCACTATCCCAGGGTGCGCCAAGCCCCGTCCAACCTGGCCTTGGACATTTCCAGGGATGGGGCAGCCACAGCCACTCCCTCCGTTTTTCCATCCCTCCTTTCATCTTCCCCCCTTCCTCACTCCATCTTTCCTTCCTTTTCTCCCTCCCTCCCTTCATGACAGCATCGCCCCCCCATGCAAGCCCTTCTCCCAGACAAGTCCGTTATCCTCTGAGGCATTTTATTTCCAGCTCTGCTTTAGATTAAACAGGCCTTCAGTATATAAAAATAATGTATACAAATGAGCAGTTAATGGTTTACATTTCTGGCTTAAAGGCATTTATAAGTTACACATTCATTTCCCATCCCTCCCCGGACACGGAGCCGGCGCTGAAGCGGCTTAAATACAGCAGAAAGCAGCGGCTGCTGTGGCTAAAGCTGGGACGAGGGAGAAAGGACGGGAGGAGGGACAGGAGGAGGGATGGGGCTTTGATGGAGTAAATGCAGCGGGAGGTTCGGCTCGGGGTTATTCGGCAGCAGCGGGGCAGGGAGGGAGCGGCACTCGGGTCCAGTCCGGTACCGAGAGGCTCTGGGGCTCTGGGCAGGGACCCCACAGCCTTTGGGATGACGGGGCTGGGGGCTGTCCCACCCAAGAAAACGGGGAGCCCGCGGGGCTGACAGTCCCTGTGTATCCCAGAGGTGCCAGCCCCGGCAGTGCAGGTGGATGCTGGGGACGCGGAGGTGCCACCACCTCGCAGGAATTGTCCCTGCTGCTGATTGTCGCAGCCCAGCGCTGCTCGCCACAGCCTTGGGGACACCCTGTGTGTGGGTGTTCCAATCCCTGCTGCCGCAGCACGGAGAAATTCGAAGGAAGACTTATAAAACCATGTAAAATAGCACCGCTGCCAGCCCTGGCTCCGGGAGGTGGCAGCTCTGCGGCAGCTCCTGGCTGGCTCTGCGGCTCTCGGGGGGCTCTGCGGGCCGGGGGAGATGTGCGGGGGAGATGTGCGGGGATTTTTGTGCCTGGCTGACACCTCCTCCCCTCCCGCAGCGGCAGCAAAGGCACCAGCAAGCTGAGCTGGGACACGCGGCCGGCGTGGGGTAGGGATGGGACAGCCCCTCTGTTCCTTCTAGGACAAGCTGGGACCCTTTTTGTCCGTAGCCAGGAGGGCCCCCAGCCCTGCCAGCCTGGGGAAAGGAGCTCAGGGACATGGCCAAGCAAGCGCCGGGGTGCTGGAGCAGCTCGGAGCGGGCACTGTCCCCCCGCCCCGCCGAGCCCCGGGCTGAGGGACTGACACCCCGCGGTGCCATCCCCGTCCGGAGGATGGTCCATCACCCGCTGGACCCCGTCACAGCGCGATGTCCGGTGTCGCCTGCAGGCTCTGCCCCGCCGCGCGTTTCTTGGCGCTGCCGCGGGCCTTGTCCCCCCGCCGGTACGGGTTGTTCCGCAGATCTGCCCCGGGGGAAGAGCAGGGCCCGGGTGAGCTTCACTGCCCCCCCGGCATGGCCCGCACCCATCATGGTTTGTGATGGAGGGACCCTAAAGCCCACCCTGTGCCACCCCTGCCATGGCACAGACACCTTCCACTCCCCCAGGCTGCTCCAAGCCCTGTCCAACCTGGCCTTGGATATTCCAGGGGTCCAGGGGCAGCCACAGCTGCTCTGGGCACCTTGTGCCAGGGTTCACCCTCACAGGAATGAGATTTTTTCTGAACCTTCAACCTAAAACTCTGCTGTGCTCATTTAAAACCCTTGCCCCTGTCCTGTCTCTCTGCTTGGGAGGACACCCAGGAGGAGCAGCAGCCACGAACAAATCAGCCCGTGGGACCCCAACCGGCGGCTCGGGGAGCCCAGCACCCATCGGGGGCTGATCCCGGTGCCCCCGGGGCTGGGGGGGAAGCCCCCACCCACCTGCGCCGGCCCCGCTGCCCCACGTTACCTACAGAGGACTCTCCTCGTTGAAGCTCACGTCGCAGAAGAGCCGCGACGAGCGTTTGCCCGTCCGGGCAGTGAAAGGGACAGTTTTGAGAGCTGAGCAGAGCGATCCAGAGACAGCGAGGAGGAGCAGGAGGAGAGAGGAGGAAGACGCAGAAGAGGAGGAAGAGATATGAGCCAGGGGAGGGAGCACTCAGTAGCTTTGCCATGTGGGATGTGAAGGCGCTTGCAGGTAGGTTTGGTCCCCGTGGCAGGTCTTGGTGACCGCCCAGCTCCTGTGACAGCCCCTGCAGCCCCCAGCAGCGGGTCTGTGATGTGGGGATACCTGGCTGCTCACCTGAAATTATATCCTCAATGGCCCCATCTTTGCCTTCGTAGATGAGCGGCTCCTTCACCATCTGCTTCTTCTTCAGCTCAGCAATCATGTCCATCTGCTGCCTCCTGGCCTTCTGGGCAGGCAGCTGCGAGGGGACAGGGCGCTTGAGTGCTGTGATCACACCCCACGGGAGATGGGGTACCTTCACCTCCCACCCAGCTCTCCCTCCCCAGGACCTGTTTAGTCCTTCCCCACCACTCAGCCCACCCAGGACACGGACATGGGGGCACCTTCACCTCAGGCTGCTGCTCGCTGCCGGGGGAGCCGGATTCCGCCTCTTTGGCTGCAGCCTCTTGTTTCTTCCACAGCTCGATGTCCTGCTCTGCTTTCTTGGGAGAGGGGCAGGAAGGGTGTGCTGAGCCAGGGGAATCCAGGACTGCAGCCCCCTTCCTTCTTCACATCACAGCCCCCAGCTCACCCCAACTCAGTTCCAAAATCTCTGACCATCCCAAGGGCATTCCTGAGCCCCAGCCTCGCCTGTGACTTCTGCTGATTGCTCCAACGTGGAGTCAGGTGCCCCAAATCTCCTCCCAGCCCTCAGAAACAGAGGACCCCATGCCCCCTCCTACCTTGTAGGCTTTGATGAAGCGCAGGAACATGGGGAAGAAGGTGGTGGGGGGACTGGTCTTGGGGTTCTCCCCGAAATACTCCACAGCTGACTCATATGCTTCCTGTGGGCAGAGACACCTGATCTGGGGGCTGGGCAGTGGTGCCCATTGCCCACCACCTCCTTCCAGCCTCTCCCACCTCCCCATCCTGCCCGTCCCACTGGAGCCACGCCCCAAGCAGGAGCCTCTCCCACGGGGCAGAGGTGTGAGCAGAGGGTGTCCCCATGCAGGGGACTGCCCCCATGACCCCACCCCACCCCAGCACCCACCTTGGCAGTTTTGCTGTCAGCCTGCAGCTTCTCCATCACCTCCGAGTTGACCTTGAGGAAGTCCTTGAGCACGGGGCTGTCGTCCTGCCTCATGAACTCCCTGCGGGTCAGCTCCATGCCCTGCTGCAGGCTCCGCACGTCTTGCAGGACACCGTCCAGGGACACTGCAGGGGGTGAGAAGTGCAGGGGCAGGGCAGGCTTGGAGTGCCAGGGGCTGCTTCAACCCCCAGCCCAGGGCCCGTGGGCACTACCTGTGCCTGCCTTGTCAAGGAAGTGCAGCTCGGTGTGGAAGCCGGTGAGCTCCGGGTACTTCTCCATGATCACCCGCACCAGGTAGTGCAGCAGCGTCTGCTTGCGGTCTGTCGACTTCATCTCCAGGAGCTGGGGCAGGGCAGAGTCAGCCCCGACCTGCAGCCACCACCCCTCACCCTGCTCAGGGCTGCCTCTGGTGCCCCTTTGTCCGTGTGGCTGGGCCTGATCCATCCCTCCATCCCCCAGCTGGATCTGCATCCCTCCACTCCCCCAGCTGGATCTGCATCCCTCCATCCCTCAGCTGGATCTGCATCCCTCCATCCCCCAGCCAGGTCTGCATCCCTCCATCCCTCAGCCAGGTCTGCATCCCTCCATCCCTCAGCCAGGTCTGCATCCCTCCATCCCTCAGCTGGATCTGCATCCCTCCATCCCCCAGCCAGGTCTGCATCCCTCCATCCCCCAGCTGGATCTGCATCCCTCCATCCCCCAGCCAGGTCTGCATCCCTCCATCCCCCAGCCCAGTCTGCATCCCTCCATCCCACAGCTGGATCTGCATCCCTCCATCCCCCAGCCAGGTCTGCATCCCTCCATCCCCCAGCCAGGTCTGCATCCCTCCATCCCTCAGCTGGATCTGCATCCCTCCACTCCCACAGCTGGATCTGCATCCCTCCATCCCCCAGCTGGATCTGCATCCCTCCATCCCTCAGCCAGGTCTGCATCCTTCCATCCCCCAGCTGGATCTGCATCCCTCCATCCCCCAGCTGGATCTGCATCCCTCCATCCCTCAGCTGGATCTGCATCCCTCCATCCCCCAGCTGGATCTGCATCCCTCCATCCCCCAGCCAGGTCTGCATCCCTCCATCCCCCAGCTGGATCTGCATCCCTCCATCCCTCAGCCAGGTCTGCATCCTTCCATCCCCCAGCTGGATCTGCATCCCTCCATCCCTCAGCCAGGTCTGCATCCTTCCATCCCCCAGCTGGATCTGCATCCCTCCATCCCTCAGCCAGGTCTGCATCCCTCCATCCCCCAGCTGGATCTGCATCCCTCCATCCCTCAGCTGGATCTGCATCCCTCCATCCCCCAGCTGGATCTGCATCCCTCCATCCCTCAGCTGGATCTGCATCCCTCCATCCCCCAGCCAGGTCTGCATCCCTCCATCCCCCAGCTGGATCTGCATCCCTCCATCCCCCAGCTGGATCTGCATCCCTCCATCCCCCAGCCAGGTCTGCATCCCTCCATCCCTCAGCTGGATCTGCATCCCTCCATTCCCATGGCTGATTCCCATCTTTCTCCACCTCCATGTCTGGGTCTGCATCGCTCTGTCCCTGCAGCTGGTTCTTCATCCCTCCATTCCCATGTGTGACCTTCCTCCATCCCCACAGCTGGTTCCCATCTTCCTCCATCAAGATCCTTGAATCCTCTAACCTCTCCATATCAGGTCTCCATCCTTCTGACCCCATTCCTGTGTCTCTCCATCCCTTTGTCTTCTCCCCTCGCCTCCTCCATCCCAACAGACGGTGTCTTCATCCTTCAGTCCCCACATCTAAACCTCATGTCCCTCCATCCCTACTGCTGGTCCTTGCAGCCCTCTATCCCCACAGCAGGTTCCTGTGTCCTTCCATCTCTGCAGCTGGTCCTTGTGCCCCTGTGTCCCCAGGGCTGGTCCCTGGCAGTGGCAGTGTCCCCATCACCCCCACGGTGACCCTACCGCATCAAGGCTCTGCAGCCGGAAGCCATAGGCAGCCCCACGCTTGCTGCTGTTCATGTAGTTCCCGAAGGCCAGCACAATCTGTGGGGACACCACGGCTTGGGGACACAGGGCCAGGAGGGCCCAGTGCCCACAGACACCCTGTGTGCGCCCACAGGGCCACCTCCCACCAAACCCTCACCTCCAGGATGTGGCGCAGTTTGCTGGAGGACTTGAGGGACATGGAGGCGGCGATGATGGCGTTGAGTTGCTGTGGGAGGGAAGGAGGGAGGGAAGGAGGGAAGGGTGTGAGTGTCACCTCAGGAGCCGCCCCGACCCGCCCGTCCCCGGTGCGCACCGGCATCAGCAGCTGGGCCGTGTCGCCGAAGCTGCCCAGGAAGATCATGACGTTCATGCGCTCGGCCAGCCGCGGGATCTTGCTGAAGCGGATCATGAACTGATCCTCCTCCGAGAGCTCCTCCGGCGGCCGCTGCTCCCGCTCGAACTTCCCGATCAGGCTCCGCTCGTACTCGGTGGGCAGGAAGCGCAGCAGCAGCTCCAGGAAGTCCAGGCTCAGGGCTTGCTGCTCGTACCTGCGGGGAGGGGACACCCCTGGCACTGTCAGCCCTGCCACAAGTCCCCTGTCACCCTCGGCTGGTTCCATCATCCCTCCATCCCCCACAGCTGGTTCCTGCACCACCCCATCTTTCTGTATCTGGACCTCTCTCTCCATGTGGATCCCTCCATCTCTCTGTCTTTGGTCCCCACATCCCTTTTTTTTATATCTGGTTCCTGCATCCCTCCATCCCCACAGCTGGTCTCTGCATCCGTCTGTCTGTCTGTGTGTGGCCCCCACAGCCCTTTGTCTCAGATCTCATCCCTGCATCTGTCCATCCCCACAGCTGGTGCCTGCACCCTTACACCTGCCCCATCTGATCCCTCCACCCTCCGTCTCTCACATCTGATCCCTTCATCCCTCCATCTCCCCATGTCTGATCCTTCCATCCCTCCATCTCCCTGATCTGATCCTTCCATCCCTCCATCTCCCCATATCTGATCCTTCCATCCCTCCATCTCCCTGTATCTGATCCTTCCATCCCTCCATCTCTTCATATCTGATCCCTTCCATCCCTCCATCTCCCTGTATCTGATCCTTCCATCCCTCCATCTCCCCACATCTGATCTTTCCATCCCTCCATCTCCCCACGTCTGATCCTTCCATCCCTCCATCTCCCCGTATCTGATCCTTCCATCCCTCCATCTCCCCGTATCTGATCCCTTCATCCCTCCACCTCTCCATGTCTGATGCTTCCATCCCTCCATCTCCCCATATCTGATCCCTTCATCCCTCCATCTCCCCATATCTGATCCTTCCATCCCTCCATCTCCCCATATCTGATCCCATCATCCCTCCATCTCCCCATATCTGATGCTTCCATCCCTCCATCTCCCCACATCTGATGCTTCCATCCCTCCATCTCCCTGTATCTGATCCTTCCATCCCTCCATCTCCCCACATCTGATCCTTCCATCCCTCCATCTCCCCACGTCTGATCCTTCCATCCCTCCATCTCCCCATATCTGATCCCTTCATCCCTCCATCTCCCCATATCTGATCCTTCCATCCCTCCATCTCCCCATATCTGATCCTTCCATCCCTCCATCTCTCCCCATACCAATCCCTGCGTCCCATCACATCCTCCACCATCCCACCCCTCGCTCCTGCTGGGCTGTTCCTGACCTTATCCCCCCCTTGCCCAGCCCGGGGGAGCACTCACGTCTCGATGGCCGTGCAGATGTCCTGGACGCTGCGGCCAGCCTTGCGCAGGGTGATGGCCAAGTTCTTGGCCCGGTTGGACTCCATGAGGGTCACCTTGCTGGGCGCCTTCTGCGTGGCCTTGGCCTTCAGGGCGCTGATGTCCAGGGCGGGGCCCTGCGCCTTGGTCTTGAACTGCTCCTCAAAGTCACTCATGTCCAGCTCCTGTGGGGACACGGGGCTGTGGACACGGCAGGGAGGTGGCGCTGGACATTGGGGTGAGGACAGGGCCAGAGGAGCGGGATTAGGGTGAGGAGCAAGGGGGGATGAGGATGGAACAGGGGACAAGTACAGGGACAGGGAGGGGTAAGGACGGGGTGAGGGGAGCAGAGGATGGAGATGAGGAAGAAGGTGCGCATGGAGCAAAGGGACAAGGAGAGGAGAGGCACGCCTGCCCCCGTGTCCCTCTCCATGGTGCTAAGGACTTCTCCTGACCTCCAGCTCCTCCTGCAGCCCTGGGCACTGCGGGCGGGCGCAGGGTGGGCACGAGTCCACCTCAGCATGGCCACCTCAGGCCCCCTGTGCCTGACCCCCTGTCCCTGTGCTCACCTGCAGCACCTTCTCATCGTTGAGCTCGGTGAAGACGGTGCCGTCGATCTGGCTCGGCTTCAGGGCCACCCAGTTGAAGACGGGCATGCGGAACTTGGTCTGGATCGGCTTCTTCACCTTCACTGCGGGGTCACAGCGAGGGGGGCCACGTCACAGGGTGCCCCAAACCCACCCCAGGGTGCCCCAAACCCCTCCTGGGGAACATCCCCACCATCCCTGGGCCACACTCACCTGAACCATTGGCATTGGGGGGCGCACCCGGCCCGGCTGGGGGCTCCCCACCGAGGGGTGGGGGTGGGGGTGGGGGAGGCACGGAGCCCCCCGGGCCCCCCGGGAGCGGTGGGGGGGGTGGTGGCACTGGGGCACCCGGGAGGGGGGGAGCTGGGGGGGGGCAGTGCCTGCGGGCAGAGGGGGGGCAGGGGGTGGGGGAGGGATGGGCTCAGCCCCCGGCAGAGGTGGGGGGGGTGGAGGGGGTGGGGGCGGGGGGGCAGCAGGCGCTGGTGGGGGAGGTGGGGCTGGAGCCAGAGCCGGAGCATCTGCAAGGGAAAGAAGATGTGGGTGAGACGGTGACACAGCAGGGCACGGTGCCACCGCCACCCTCCCTCTGCCACCGCATTACCCTGAGTCCCCGGGGCACATCCCCACGCCCCCGCCCCAGTTTCTGTGCCCGGAGACTCGCTGCCACCCCTCCTTGGCGCCGGGAAGGGGACATCCCCTCGCACCCACGCTACCTGCGCAGGTGGCGGTGGTGGCGGTGGTGGCAGTGGCCTCTCCAGAAGCCACGGGGCTTGCAGGGGTTTCTATGACAACGGGGACAATTTCGATGGCGACGTCTCCGTCGGGCCCACGCAGTATCTGCACCAGCCCCTTCTCCTCCAGCTCCGCCAGCCGCCGCTCCAGCGCCAGCCGGTAGCACTCCTGGGGCTGGGGGGACGGCGGGCTGGGCGGCCGCGGGGGGCTCAGCTGCTCCTGCACGGGTGACAACCACCAGCGGGTCACTGGTGTCCCTCTGCACCCCTGGGAGCCCTTTCCCTGAGCCCCAGCCTTCCCCCAGAGCTCACCCGCAGTGCCTCCAGCTCCCGCCGCGCCTGGCTCAGCTGCTTCTCCAGCTCCGCTATCTTGGCCATGGAGTCGTTCTCCGCATTCTGCAGCTTCTCTGTCAGCTGTGGGGGACGAGGCGCCGCCGCTCAGCCCCGTCCTCATCCCTCCCTCGGGGTTTGCGTCAGCGGCTCTGCCCACGCGCCCACGGCCCACCTGGCTGACGTGCTCCTGCAGCTCCTCCATGTGCTCCAGCACCGCTGTCTTGGTCTCCGAGTCCTCCAGCATGGCCCCCACGTCGAAGACGTTGTCCAGGTAGGCTTGGATCTGCACCTGCAGCTTGTCGCTCTCGGTGAGGCGCAGACTCTGCCCAGGGACAGCCGGCGTCACCGTGGGTGCCAGCAGCACCCCTGGCACCCCCACCCTCGGGATCACCTACCTCCAGGTACTGGTCCAGCCCCAGGTGGGTGAACTCGTACTGCAGGAACACGCGGAAGTTCATGTTCTCCACCGAGTGCACCACGATGTTGATGAACTGCATGCAGGCCACCTGTGTGGACACGGCTCAGCACGGGCCACGGTGGCTCGTGGGGATGTCGCCCCAGGGGCTGCATGGGGGGTTGGTGGCCCTCGGGGTCATGGTGCCCCTGGGAAGTGCATGGGGGTTTACACAGTCCTGGGGACGTGGTAGCTTGGGGACAGCACGGTGGCCTTGGGACGTGATGGCCTGGGGACACTTTGGTGGCTCAGCATGCCTTGGGATGTGATGGCCTGGGGACACTTTGGTGGCTTAGAAGACTTGGGGACAGCAGAACAGCCCTTGGGACATGCCACCCCCAGGACAGCACGGTGGCTCAGCAGGCCCTGAGGAAGTTTTGTGGTTCAGCATCCCTTGGGACACGATACCATAGGGACAGTGTGGTGGCTTAGGAGTTCATGGGGCATAATGGCCTGGGGACACGGCAGCAGCCTTGGTGACATGACGCCCTGGGGACAGCAGAGCATGGGCCCCAGCAGCCACTCACCATGAAGTCAATGTTGGTGTCCTCATTTCGGAAATACTCCATCAGCTTCTCAAAGCGGTTCTTCTCCCCGCAGACCTGGGGGGGAGCAGGGGGCTGAAGGCCAGGGAGGACATGGCCAGGGGACACCCAGGAGGGTGACAGGACAGGAGGTATCTATTGGTGACACTATCCCAACCCTGACTGGTGCTGCCAGGCACCCAGCCCAGCTGGGACATGGCCCTGGGGACACATGGTGGCATGGGGACATCAAGCCCAGTGACTGGAACATCCCCAAGCGAGCCAGAGATTTGAGGGTGGTGCAGGGCTCTGCCACACCCAGGGAAACCGAGGCACAAACCCAGCTGGAGCACAGATGTTCATGTGGGGACCGGGTGTCCCTGCTGGGGACTCACCTCCTTGAAGTTGTCAAAGGCAGCCAGGATGATGTCGTGGCCACCTCGGACCAGGCAGACAGCGGCCAGCAGCTCCAGCACCAGAGCCTTGGTCCTGCAGAGACAGAGGTGTGAGGGGGCTGGGGGGCGGGTGAGGGGATGGGGGTGACAAGGGACAACGGGGGGCAGAGCAGCTCCTACCTGGCGCTCTTGTTGTTGAGGCTCAGGGTGATCTCGTTGACACAGGCTGGGTGGTTCATCACCAGGCTGAAGCCAGACTGGGGAGGGGAAAGGAGCATTCATGGGGTCGTGTGTCCCCCTGGAGACACTCAAGGACGGTGGGACACCCCCATGCCACGTCCCCACCAGGCAGGAGGTTGAGCAAGGACATCTCAGAGCCAGGGGATGCAGAGCCAGGTCCACCCCGGCGCTGCCACCGAGGACGGGGGGATCCCGGGGAGCCCCAGGCGGATCTGGGGGAGCCCCAGGCGGATCTGGGGGAGCCCCAGGCGGATCCGGGGAGCCCCGGGCGGATCCCGGGGAGCCCCAGGAGGATCCCGGGGAGCCCCAGGAGGATCTGGGGGAGCCCCAGGTGGATCTGGGGGAGCCCCAGGCGGATCTTGGGGAGCTCCAGGCGGATCTGGGGGAGCCCCGGGCGGATCTTGGGGAGCCCCAGGAGGATCTTGGGGAGCCCCAGGAGGATCCGGGGGGAGCCCCAGGAGGATCCCGGGGAGCCCCGGGTGGATCTTGGGGAGCCCCAGGCGGATCTGGGGGAGCCCCGGGCGGATCTTGGGGAGCCCCAGGCGGATCTTGGGGAGTCCCAGGAGGATCTGGGGAGCCCCGGGCGGATCTGGGGGAGCCCCAGGGGGACCCCGGGGAGCCCCAGGCGGATCTGGGGGAGCCCCAGGGGGACCCCGGGGAGCCCCGGGCGGATCTTGGGGAGCCCCAGGCGGATCTGGAGGAGCCCCAGGACGATCTGGGGGAGCCCCGGGCGGATCTTGGGGAGCCCCGGGCGGATCTTGGGGAGCCCCAGGCGGATCTGGGGGAGCCCCAGGTGGATCCGGGGGAGCCCCGGGCGGATCTGGGGGAGCCCCAGGAGGATCCCGGGGAGCCCCGGGCGGATCTGGGGGAGCCCCAGGTGGATCTGGGGGAGCCCCAGGCGGATCTCGGGGAGCCCCGGGAGGATCCCGGGGAGCTCTGGGCGGATCTTGGGGAGCCCCAGGCAGATCTGGGGGAGCCCCAGGAGGATCTTGGGGAGCCCCAGGCGGATCCGGGGAGCCCCAGGCGGATCCGGGGGAGCCCCGGGCAGATCCGGGGGAGCCCCAGGCGGATCCGGGGGAGCCCCAGGCAGATCCCGGGAGCCCCAGGCGGATCCCAGGGAGCCCCAGGCAGATCCGGGGGAGCCCCAGGAGGATCCCAGGGAGCCCCAGGCGGATCCGGGGAAGCCCCGGGCGGATTTTGGGGAGCCCCAGGCGGATCTGGGGGAGCCCCAGGCGGATCCGGGGAGCCCCAGGCCGATCTGGGGGAGCCCCAGGCGGATCCCCGATGCCGCCCACTCGCACCTGGTAGTTCATGATGGCGCGGAGGCACATGATGCACACATGGACATCGTCCTTCTGGCTGACGAGCCGCGAGTTGCGCAGCGCCTTCCTGCCGTGCGAGGAGCTCAGCCTGGGCGGGGAGAGCGGTGAGCGGGGCCCGGGGAGCCGCGGGGACAGCGCCAAGCGGGGACGGGACAGCGCAAGGGGCGGCAGCGGGGACACCGGGGGGACACCGGGGCACCGGGCGGCTGCACCCCACGGGACAAACCCATCTAGAAGCCCTGGGGCTGGGGGGTGATGTGGGCTGGGGGGGTTTGGGGCCACACGGGTGGTCTCGGAGGCTCACCGGGGCGGGCAGGAGCTGCCGGGTGACCTGGGGGCACCGTCCCCATCGCTGCCCGGGGCACCGCAGGGGACGCTGGGGTGAAGGTGGCGGAGGAGGGTGTGGATGTGCTGGTTCGAGAGGCAGCAGCTGGAGGCGCGTTAGAGCCTGCAGGACAGGAGGGAGAAACGGGGACACCCGGGGACAAGGGATGGGACCCCCTGCGGGTGCCACGTCCCTCCTGACCTGTCCCTGGGGCTGGGAGGGACACCCCGGCTCCTCCAGAGCTGCTGGCAGGCGGCGAGGGACCCCCGCGGGCCCCGGGGTGCCGCGTTACAGCTCGTGGGGTGACCGCGGTGGGGTGTCCCTGGGACCCCCCGCCCACCGGGGATGCCCCGCAGGTCCTGTCCCCGGTACCGGTGACCAGCAGCGGGGTCCCGTGGGGTGTCCCCATCCCGCCAGTGCCCCGTCACCTACCGTCAGCGCGTCCCCGGCAGCGTGCAAGAGAAGAGCGGGGTTAGAGGGGGCACCAAGCGAGAGCCACCAGCCACCAGGACCGGCTTGGGGGGACACAGGCCCGTCCCTCTGCCCGGCTTTAAACCGGGGGGCTGCGATTTGCTGCCCCAAAATCTCCAACACGCCAAATTTTTTTCTGTTCCTGGGGTTTGACCCGAGCACGGTCGCGGACCCTGGGGACACACGGGGGATGTGGCTTTGTCCCCACCCTCCCACCAGCGATGGGTGCCCATTTCTAGGAGCGGGCCTGAGTCCCCCTGCCAAGCCCCTCTCCAAGCGCGGTGCGGCCGGGGTGCAGCGAGGCGAGAGCGGGACACAGGGACAGGGGACAAGGACAGGGGACAGCGGGGACGGTGGCACAGTTACCTCACAGTGAGGGGCCGCGCCTTGGAGGAGCCCTGCGTGGGGGACGAGCTTTTGTTCAGATCCTCCAGCGACCGCTCCTTGCCCTTGTCGGAGCCGGGGCTGCTCTCTGCGCTCTCCATGTCGTACCTGGTGGCCCGTGGGGACATGGGGACGGGTGAGATGTGGCACCCCAGTATGGGGTACCCTCAGGGATGTTGGGGATGTTCTGCTTAGCCCCAGCCCTGGGGACAGGGGACCCGCTGGGGACGTACGCGACAGAGCACTGGGCAAAGGCGAGGTACTCCAGCAGCACGTCCAGCCCCTTGTTCTCCTCGTTGAGGAACTCCTGGACCCAGCTGGAGGGTGCAGAGGGTTAGTGGGCTCTGCCAACCCCCACATCCTCTCTCCCCCTGTGCCCACACACTCAGCAGAGCCACCCACCCCCTGCTCAGAGTTCCCCAGCAAGGGTGGAACATGCTGGGGACATGAGGTGGCACCATGGGCTGGCATTCCTCTGAGGCCAGGTGAGTGCCACGGTGAACCTGATTTATGGGGGACACAGCCCAGGGGCTCTCCTGTCACCACTGCCACCACTGCCACTGTTGCCACCTCTACCAGGACAGGACAGCCTGGCCCTGGGGTCTGTAGGCACCCACCACCCCACAAGGCGTCAGGACAGCACCAGAGAGACATAATGGGGTTCAGACCCCCCAGCACCCCCAGCTGCCTCAGCACCCCCAGCCTCCCATCAGAGCCCTCCTGAGGGGGCAGGATGAGCCTCCACATCCTGCTGTCACCCTCCAGCCAGAGCCAGCAGCACGTCCATCCCCTCCCAGAGGCAGTGGCAGTGGCTGGGTGACAATGCCACCCCCGCCCTTACCCGATGTAGTTGGTCCTCAGGGAGATCTCCAGCTCCCGGAGCACCTGCGTCGACTCCTGCACTCGTCTCTTGAACTGTGGGATGGGGACAGCCATTGGCACCGTCCCTGTGCCCAGCCTGGGGTGGGGACCAGGGGACCGGGGTGCAACAGGGACCCCTCACCTTCCTGCTGACACCCCCTGTGTCCAAGTAGCTCCTCAGCTTCTGGATGTAGGCGGACGGAGGGTTCTTCACCTGGAAACGCTCCTAGGAGCGCCAGAGAGAGGCTGAAACTGGGCCAGCTGCTGTGGCACGGGGACATGCCACTGTCCCCACAGCAGCCACAGTGTCCCTGTCCCCACCCCAACTGCATCAGTGCTTAATGAGGTTAATGAGGTGCTGTGTCAGTAACGAGATGGATGTCAGCGCTTGCTACAGACAGACTGATGCCCAAACCATGCCACAAGTGGCACCTGGGGACAGGGACAGCACTGGGGACACTGCGAGCCTGGACCTCACCTGGTCACAGATCAGCTCCCACTTCTTCTCGTTGTCGTACTGGTTAAGCAGCTTCATCTTGTCCGGGGGCAGGTTCATGGAATTCTGTGGGGGAAGGGTGTCAGCACTGGGGGTCACCCCAAAAACACCCCTGGGATGCAGCACCCCCTGCTCAGCCAGCATGGGGGTCCTCGCTCAGCAGGGGCAGACGGGGACCAGTGGGAGGATGGGGATGTTGGTGGGACACAAAGATTCCAGTGAGAAGATGGGGACACTAGTGGGACAATGGGGATGGAACAATGGGGACAGGGGTGGGAGGATGGGATCATGGTGGAAAAGTGAAAGCAGCATTCTCAGGATGGGGACACTGGTGGGATGATGGGGACAACCTTGGGAGGTTGGGAACACCACTGTTCCCAGGATGGCAGCATCCCATGGACCCATCAGTGATGGCCCCACCTGAGGGGAGGGGTGGGCAGCGAGTGTTGGTGGGGGACAGGAGGAAGAACTGGACACATCCCCCCATGTCATGGGTGCACCTTGTGCCCAACCTCAGCCAGCACAGTCCTGGCAAGGTCACATGGGGTGAGGGATGGGGACACCACTGGTGACACAACTGAGGGACCCAGGAGCTGAGCTGTGCTTGAGGGGTCACCCCTGAGTCCCCCCATCCACAGGTGCGTGACAAGCCCGTCTGGGGAAACCAGTGTTGGTTGAGAGACAATGATGTCAGGGCCTGGCACGTCCCTCCTGGCCACCATGGCACAGCCCCAGCCCCCACAGGACGTGACGTGGGTTCCGCTCTCGGCACCGGCGCTGCCGAAACCGCCCCCGCCAAGAGGGAGACACAGCTCCTGTCCCTGGGCTGCTCTGCTGGGGGACACCACGGGGTGACCTTCATGGGACACCCACCCTGGCCTGGGCCAGGTGCAGCTCAGCTTGGCTCACAGGTGATTTTTTTGCTGAAAGAGCCAATTTTTTGTTGATGGAGAGCACCTGCAGGCTGGCACGATGGCGTGTGGAGCAATGCACAGCCCCAGGCCACCCCTAAATCTCAGTCTTGGGGTTCCCTGAGGAGGAGGATGGGAACGTGGGGTGCATGCCATGCTGGAACAACCACATCCTTGCAGGAAGGCATCTCCCAGGGCTTTGGTTGCCCACAGAAGAGCAGGCCCAAGGTGAGAGGTCCCACTGAGGTGGGCAGGAACAGAAACCTCTCCACCTCCTCCAGGGAGGACCTGTCAAGCTGCTTTCACAAGAAGCCAAAACCAGGAGCAGTGGGTGGGGAGGAGCTGGGTTGGGCTGGCACCAAGAGCTGGGCAGGGGGACAGCCAGGCTGCAGGGTCAGAAATGGCCTCGCTGTGAAGCCACTAGAGCTGCTGGCTGGGCTCTGGGATGGGCAAGGTGACAGCAGCACCTGGCTGTCACCACTGCTGCTCCCGAGCTGCCATCCTTGGGGTGGATGAGGATCAGACCAAGGGACAGCGCTGTGCCAAGAGGGACCACGCACCCAGACACCCACCCAGGGCTCAGGCACACCCGTGGCACTCTGTGGGACACCATTGGGTGCCCTGGGCAGGGAGGACATGGTGGCACCTGCCACATGGACCAGCTTGAAGCCATCACACGTGGACCAAGCAGGACCCAGCACGAGGGTGGGGCAGGGTGTCCCCGCGGAGGTGGCTCTGCCCCAGCCCCACAGCCCCTCCCTTGCGGGCAGGATGTGGCACAGGTCGGGTACAAAGTGGGTGGTGGCTGTGTCCCATCCCGGGTGGGCTGGTGGTGCCGGGGAGGAAGCGGCTCCGCTGAGGCAGCGCAGAGAAACCGGTTCTGGTTTCCTGCCGGGGAGGGGGAGGTGTGGGGCACAGTGGGTGATGTGGGGCTGGGCGGATAATGTGGCAGCAGCCAAGCACCCACAGGAGCCAGGGGAAGGACTTGGTCCTCCCCTCCTTTTCGTCCTTTGGGGACAAGGATGGAGGAGCCACAGCCACTTGCCCCCAGCTCCCTCATCCCGCCCTGCCCGGGGCTCCCCAGCACCTCACAGCCCACCACATCGCTGAGAGGGTGCCACCAAATGTCCCCCACCAAACCTGCTGTGCCACAAAGTGCCACAGAGCCGGCAGGGCCATCCCAGCCATGCCTGGCACCTCAGCTGTGGGCTGAGCCAGGCGAGGTGAAGCAGCACCAACATCATTTTCTGGTACAAAACAACCTTTTGCTGTCATGGCTGGCAGGGACGGAGCTATTTTGGGTGTCAGACACCTCTTTGTGCTCCACACGTGAGCGGGCAGCGCCGAGAGGAGCCGGGCTGAGCCGAGCTCTGCACCAAAGCTGGCACAGAACATTCCAGCATCCCCCGGGAGGTGTTTGTGCCACAAAGCCCGGCAGGATGAGCGTGAACCGGGCTGAACCCTGGCAGTGCTGTTTCTGGGGCACGGGGGATGTGCAGGCACTGAGAGGGGATGGAAAGCCGTGGCAGCACGTGGGCACAAAATCCTGCCCAGCACCGGGCACAAAATCCTGCCCCAGGGAAGGGTACAGGGCAGGGAACCGCCCCAGATGGGGCTCAGGGGCTCTCCCCAGCTGCAGGAAGGGCCAACACTGCCAGGTGACCAACAGTGCCACTCCTGGGGTGCTCCATCCCTCATGGCCACAGAGCACCCCAGAGGTGGTTTGGGACATGCCCAGTCCTGAAGTGCCAGCTGTCCCACGGTGTCCCCTCCAGTGCCCCCGACTCCCACTGGACTCGTTCTCCTGCCTCTTCCCAGGGCTCAGTGTGAGGCACAGAGCAGCACCAGGCCCACCCAGGGCTCCCTGACCTCCCTCGTGCAGCAAACTGGGCTGGGGGCACTGCCAGGACCAGTTCAGCCCATCGGGGATCCAGCCAGACCCAAACCCCGCCAGTGTCAGGTGGGGACAGCGGGTGCAGGAGGAGACACAGTCCCCAGGATGGGTTGGGCTGGGCTGGGCTGGGCTGGGCTGGGCTGGGCTGGGCTGGACTGGGCTGGGCTGGGCTGGGTTGGACTGGGTTGGACTGGACTGGGCTGGGATGGACTGGGATGGACTGGGCTGGGCTGGGTTGGGCTGGGCTGGGCTGGGTTGGACTGGGTTGGACCTGGCTCGCCCGGGGCTGGATCCAGCAGCACAGGAGGGCTCCTGCACCAGGACACTCCCCAGGCCCTGACCCAGCAGCTGGTGGCTCACAGGCAATTTCCCACCCAGGACACAGGTCCCCCTTGGGGACACCCTGGCGCAGCCCCACATCCCCCAGCCAGCCTTGGCCACCGTGCTGGAGATGGATGCAGCAGGAAGATGAGGACCAGCTCTGTTTCCTGGTTGAGAAGAGGCTGCAAAGCCCCCACCAGGCAAAGCTCCCGGCTGGAGCCGCCCCCGTCCCAGCCAGCCACTGTTTGATTTTGACTCCACCACCCCTCAGCTCACAATTCCATTTATATGGTCCCAATTAATGCTCCTTGACATGCAAAGGGGGGAGAATCCTGATTGCTTCAAGCAGGGTATGTGAGCATCCCTATCCCAGCAGCAAAGATGCTCTTCCTCTGCTCCATCCCAAAATCCACCTTGTCATATCCCAAACTACTTGGCACGGGACAACCTTCCATTGCTCTGCCAAAGCAGCATCTGCCACAGTGCCCCAGCTGGGAAGAAGCCAATTTTTGAGAAGGAAGTTTTGGGAAACTAAATTCCCATTTCTTGGCACCAAATGGGTGTATCCCCTTCCTGGCAGCAATTGGATCCCCATGGCTCTTCCCTGGGCTTTTCTGCCAAGGCTTTGCACCGGCAGCTCTCCCAATTTGGGATGTCCAGCCCAAAACTGATTTGCACTGAGCTCTCATGGCATCACTGCAACCACGGCAACGTGTGAGGTCTGGATCCTGTCCCACCAGGAGATTCCCAGCTCATCACCACCTGCTCCATCACTGAGCTCAGGAGGTAGAAAAGTTGAAGCCAGAGCCAGGGAATGTGTTTGTGGTGGGTGAGGGCAGAGGGACCCCCTGTCCCCATCCCCCCGGGATTCTGCTGCCCCCACAGCCACAAGAATGGGGAAGGGACTGTGAAAGGAGGAAGCAGAATTGGGACAGCCGCTTTCACAAGACACCCGCTTCCCGTCGGGACATGTCCAGCCCCCTGGGTGCCCCTTCTCCTGGAAAAGGGCTTTCCCTCGGGATGAAGGCAGACAAGGTGGTGCTGAGTGCCTGGAGCAGCGCTTTCCCCTTTTCTGATCATTTTTTGGTTTAGGATTTCCAACCTGCTGGGCCCAGCCCGGCTGAAAGTGCAGCTTCCTGGGGCCTCACAGCGGAAACACCCCGAGTCTGTTCCTGCCCCGCTGCTGTGACACCCGGAGCCACCAGAGCATCGCCACCCCACCCGCCACCCGCGTGTCCCGCGGCAGTCCCGGGGGTCCCGCCAAGCAGCGCCCCTCAGAGAATCCCATCAACTCCACCAGAGAAAAAACTCCCGAGGAATTCGTGCTCGGGGCCGAGCAGATCCCGGCGGGTCCAACCGAGCGGATCCCGGGGTGCCGGTATCGCGGCATGGGATCGGTGAAACGGCTCCATCTCCGCCAGGGGCTCGGGGATTAAAGCAGCGATTATTTCTGGGCAGGGCATGGGTAGGGGCTGGAGCGGGTGGCGGGACCCGGCGCTCCCCGGAGAAGGTCACGGCCGGCCCGCCCCGCTCAAGGACGGAGCTCGGAGGGCACCGGGAGCTGCATCCATCCACCGGCGGGAGGCCGGCAGCGCTGCCGGGGAGGAGGAAGAGGAGGAAGAGGAGGAAGAGGAGGAAGAGGAGGTGAGTGAAGCATCGCCATCCGCAGCCCCGGCTGCTTGCGGCGCGCTCCGGCCCTGCCGCCGATCCCGCCATGGCGGAGCCGCCCGGGCTCCGGGACTCGGGGTCACCCCGGGAATTTGGGGGATGGATCCCCCGCAAGGTGAGAGGGGAGCGGCTGGGGGTCATCCCGGGGCAGGCTGAGCGTGAGGTGAGAGCGGGGCAGTCACCATTAGTAATAAGAACATCAATTAAATAATAAATCATCAACAGAAGGACGGAATAGTAACACACGATCATTACAACGATGATAACGATGCCGGTAGGGATGGTAGAAACCCCCCCAGCCCCCCGGTAGGTCCGGCCCCTCCCGGCGGACCCCGCTCACCAGGACGCGGCCGAAGCGCTCCTCCAGCTCGGCGGCACCGGGCATGGGCTGCCGGGGGGGCGGCACCGGGCCGGCGGCGGCGGGGGCGGCCCCGGGCTGCGGGCGGGGGTCGCGGGGCTCCCGCGGGGCCGCGCCCCCCTCCAGCCCCCCGGCCGCGTTGCCCATGGCGGGGCTGCGGCCCCGGCACCGAGCGGCGCTTCGTGCTCGCCCGTCCCCGCCGCCGCTCTCGCCGCCGTTTGCAACTTGTGCGGGCGGGACCGCGCTAAGAGCTGCGCCCGCCCCCGGCCCCCGCCCCGGCCCGGCCAGAGGCGGCCCCGGCACCTGCAGCCCGGGGGATTCATTTCTTTTATTTATTTATTTTTTTTTTTATTATTTTAGACTTACTTTTTATATTGTATTAAATAAAATGTAATAGGAAATGTAATTAATAATAATTTATATTGTATTAAATCAAATTTATTTTATATTTTTTATTTTTATTTTTATTTTTGTTTTTGTTTTTGTTTTTGTTTTTGTTTTTATTTTTATTTTTATTTTTATTTTTATTTTTATTTTTATTTTTATTTTTATTTTTATTTAATTTTATTTATTTTTTCAAATATTGCTCTTAAGTTCTTTATTTTGGGATTTTACTTTATTTTACTTTACTTTTATATTATATTAATGTATAATATTATATTAATTTATTATAATTTTATATTATATTAAATAAAATGTAATAGCAAATGCAATTAATAATAATTTATATTGTATTAAATCAAATTTATTTTATCTTTTTATTTTTATTTTTATTTAATTTTATTTACTTTTAAAAATATTGCTCTTAAGTTCTTTATTTTGGTATTTTACTTTATTTTACTTTACTTGTATATTATATTAATTTAAAATATTATATTAATTTATTATAATTTTATATTATATTAAATAAAATGTAATACTAAATGCAATTAATAATCATTTATATTATATTAAATCAAATGTATTTTATATTTTAATTTTATTTTTATTTAATTTTATTTCTTTTTTAAAATATTGCTCTTAAGTCCTTTATTTTGGTATTTTACTTTACTTTTATATTATATTAATTTATTATATTTTTATATTATATTAAATAAAATGTAATAGCAAATGCAATTAATAATAATTTCTATTATATTATATCAAATGTATTTTATATTTTAAATTTTTTTTTTTTAAATATTGCTCTTAAGTTCTTTATTTTGGTATTTTACTTTATTTTACTTTACTTTTATATTATATTAATTTAAATAATTATATTAATTTATTATATTTTATATTATATTAAATAAAATGTAATAGTAAATGCAATTAATAATAATTTATATTATATTAAATAAAATGTATTTTATTTTTTAATTTTTATTTTTATTTAATTTTATTTATTTTTTTCAAATATTGCTCTTAAGTTCTTTATTTTGGTATTTTACTTTATTTTACTTTACTTGTATATTATATTAATTTAAAATATTATATTCATTTATTATAATTTTATATTATATTAAATAAAATGTAATACTAAATCTAATTATTAATAATTTATATTATATTAAATCAAATTTATTTTATATTTTAAATTTTATTTTTATTAAATTTTATTTATTTTTTCAAATATTGCTCTTAAGTTCTTTATTTTGGTATTTTACTTTATTTTTATTCCTGTTTTCTCTTTATTTTATTTTGCCTTCTTTATTTAATTTAATTTTATCCTTATTTTTCAATTTACTTTAATTCTATTTATTGATTCAATTTTTGCTTTCATTTTTATGTTCTATGCATGTATTATTTCATTACCTTTTAGTTAACTATTTTATTCCAGTCTTATTTCATTATATTATTCATTTTATTTTAAATTTTCCATTGATATATTTATTTAGGCGTTTTGTTTGACTTTCCTTTTATCTGACAGTAATTTATTACTGGTTTATATACATTATTTTTATTTAATTTTAGATTTTTATTATGTTTAATTGCTTGCTTATTTTATTTATTTGGTGAGATGTGGTGACATTCACCAAAATTTGGTGAGATTTGGTGACATTCACCAAAATTTGGTGAGATTTCATTATATTCACCAAAATTTGGTGAGATTTGGTGATATTCACCAAAATTAAGTGAGATTTCATTATTCACCAAAATTTGGTGAGATTTGGTGACATTCACCAAAATTTGGTGAGATTTCATTATTCACCAAAATTTGGTGAGATTTCATTATATTCACCAAAATTTGGTGAGATTTGGTGAGATGTGGTGACATTCACCAAAATTTGGTGAGATTTGGTGACATTCACCAAAGTTTGGAGAGATTTCATTATATTCACCAATTGTTTGTGAGATTTGGTGAGATGTGGTGGGTGACATTCACATAAATTTAGTGAGATTTGGTGAGATTTCATTATATTTACCAGAATTTGGTGAGATTTGGTGAGATTCATCAAAATTTGGTGAGATTTGATGAGATTTGATGAGCTTCACCAAAAGTTGGTGATGTTTGGTGAGATTCAGTGAGATTCTCCAAGACTGGGTGGGGTTCAGCGAGTTTTGGTGACATTTGCTGAACCCCAGGATTTGAGGCGAGCTGTTCCTCCTCTTTCTCCTTCCTTCCCTCCATGTTCTTGGTGATGTTGGCACTCACAGATTGGTTTAGAGTAGAAAAGCACCATTTAATATAGGGAATAGGCATTGGGGAAAAACTATAAACATTTAACACGTAATGTACCATATAAAAGATAGAAAAGCACCATTTAATATAGGTAATAGGCATTGGGGAAAAACTTAAACATTTAACATGTTTAAGACATATAAAAGACAGCAGCAGCCCTGGGCAGAGGGGAGAGAAGAAGCAGTCGGGAGTCAGAGAGGATGTCAGGGTGTGTGTGTGCCTCTGCCTGAGCTGTGAGCAAACCACAGCAGCTCAAGGAGAAAATCTTTTAGATAACTTGCAATAAACTGCCTTGAGACCGAACAACAAGAGGCTGCAGAGTTTTGTTTGGAAGCACGGGTTGGGGGAGAGACTTTTCCACCACATGGAACCCCTGAACCAGGCCGGGGATCCGACAGGCAGGACCTGCCAGGTGTCCCCAGCTGTCCCCAGGTGTCACCCACGGCACCACAGGGACTGGGTGAACGTGCCAGGCTTGTTCTGCCAACCTCCCCCACCCTCTGCAAACCCCAAATTCCGGGCAGGGGACACGCCAGGACAGCAGGCACCATTCCCTTGTTTCCATCCCACTCTCCCTGGGGATTTGGGAGCTGGGAGAGGACTCATGGACAGCTCAGCAGCACCAAAATTGGGGTCACCCATACTTGGGGTCGTTCTGCTATTCTAAGGCTGAATTTTGCAGTCAAAATCTCTGCCCTTAAATATTTCAGCATCTCAATGAATATTTTACATTTTGTTTCCAGATGCAGGTTTTTAAGGGAAGGCTTTGCAGTGCTCTGTGGGCACAGGGACATCCTGATGAGGTCCCAGAGGTGTGTCCAGGGAGAAGAATATTGAATATTGTCCCCTGGACCACGTGTGGGACCAGGGCTCCATCCCACAGCGGGGACAGGGCACTGTGGGGACTCCAGGGTGTGGCACCTCCATGAACACCTTGCTGCACACCAGGATCACAGAATCATGGAATGGTTTGGTTTGGAATGGGCCTTAAACAGCAGCCAGTGCCACCCCTGCCCCGGGCAGGGACATCTTGCACCGGCCCAGGCTGCTCCAAGCCCTGTCCTTGGACACCTCCAGGGTGGGGCAGCCACAGCAGGTTCAGGATGGAATCTCAGAGCTGTGGGAGCATCCAGGAACACCTCCCTGACCTCGCTGGAAAAGGCTCTGAGGCTCTGAGCCCCAGCAGAAGCAGGGCTGGGCCAACAGTACCATCTCCTGGCCATGGGGAGGGCTACTCACATCTCATTCCAAACATAAATCATGACCTCTCTCTCTCAGAAATGCTGCAACAATTCCCTCTTTTTCTTTTGCCGTTGAAAAACAATGGCAAAATGAACAGAAGAATCACAGGCATTACTAAAACCCATTAAAACTTAGGCATTAAATTCTATAACACCATTAAAAACACACTTATGGAAAAAAAAAAAAAAAACAAAGTCCACGATCTTCTGTGGTGAAACACAAAGCTTTGCACAATCCACATCTTTTGTGGAGAGATCAGCGCTCTCTTGCAGTTCTAAGTTCCACATTCCTCACTGAAATCCATCCAGATCCTGAGTGACACGGTGAGGGACAGCCTCGGGTTTGGATCCTGCTGATCCCCACCGGCATGGAGCTGCAAAAGGGAGCCAGGCTGGATTTTGGGCTGCTCATCCCAGCCCTGGGCACTGGGATGGCTCTGGGGGTGGGAAACCACCCAGACTGCCCCTGGGTGGTGGGGGGGACTTCACTGCTGCTCTCCAGGGTGGTGGGTCGTGATACCTGGAACTCATTACAGCCACCAAGAAATTCAGCAGTGCTGAAAATAGAAGTCTAATCTCAGATCTCAGAGGCAAAGGAATTAAGATCTTGTCCTTCCATCAAGACAGACTCTTGGGCTGACCTTCACTTCAGCCACACAACCCCAGAAAATGTCCTCAGATTCTCAGGGATGCTCCATGGGGGTGGAAAGGATGAGCGGTGTCATCTGAGGAATCTTGAGAAGTGGTTCCCACCTTATCTCAGGTGTCTTATCTCAGGAATTTCAGGTACCCCCAGGTCTAGCTCTTTGAGGAACATGAGGTCAGCTGTCCAAACACCCTCAAATTTCTGGAGTTCCTGGAGGTCTGTGACCTCAAAGAGCCTCCTGACCCCTCAGAACCTGGCTGGGTCCTTTGGGAGGCGAGGACACTGCCCTGGCTGTGCTCTTCACCCCAGGAGCTCTGCTGGGAGGTGAGTTCATCCCAGCTCAGGCACTCCTGATGTTCCTTCAGCACACTCAGCTTCTCCCTCCATGGAGCCACCCTCACCTCTGGCCTGTCCATGTGGACAAGGATGTGGTCCCTTGTCACCACATCCTTGTCACCACCCTGTCCTCGTGTCTTCTCTCCTTTCACTGCTTTCCTGATGTTTGGTAAATGAGGGTGTTTACCTGACACCTCCAGTTAGCCCAGGGCTAGTCACTTCCTGTGATAAAAGTCCTTTAAAAAAACACTCTAGAAATGACACATTCAAATATCATCTTCAGTATGTGCCCAGGGTTACATTTCTTACATTAAAGGTGATTTCAGACACTTAAATCTGTTTTCTTAATTCATTTCAATTCCCTGGAAAACACAGGCAGGGATGGATTTTTCCCCCCTGAATTTGCATGTCCATAAAAACCCTGTTTCTTGATGTTAGAGCTACCCAGGCAACATTCCCTCATCCAAACAAGTATTCCCAGGTTTAGATTGTGCAGCCTGAGCTTATCTGATGCCCTGGCTGAAGGCAACTCCAGAAATTTGAGGGTGTTTGGACAGCTGACCCCACCTCATGTTCCTCAAAGAGCTAGACCTGGGGGTACCTGAAATTCCTGAGATAAGACACCTGAGATAAGGTGGGAACCACTTCTCAAGATTCCTCAGATGACACCGCTCATCCTTCCCACCCCCATGGAGCATCCCTGAGAATCTGAGGACATTTTCTGGGGTTGTGTGGCTGAAGTGAAGGTCAGCCCAAGAGTCTGTCTTGATGGAAGGACAAGATCTTAATTCCTTTGCCTCTGAGATCTGAGATTAGACTTCTATTTTCAGCACTGCTGAATTTCTTGGTGGCTGTAATGAGTTCCAGGTATAATTCACTCTCCATTCCTTCCTGAATTACAGAATTTAATGTGCTAAGCCGTGGCAAGCAGCAGAAGGAACTTGTGTCTTCTGTCAGTAAACAAGCTTCTTCTGTAGGTAAATCAGATTTTTACAGTATAAATATAGGTTAGGAGAGAAAAAGTTCATGCCTGGAGTCCTGGGACTTGGATTTTCAGGGGTTTGGAAAACAGAGGAAGATAAACATCATTCCCAATCAGAAATATTTTGGTAATGTCACATGGTAAATAGCTCATCAAGGGGATTGATTATAGCAACTTGGTGTTTGCTTATCATCTGCAGCTTGAGCACATTCAGTGCATTCCCCAGGGATGGGTTTGGAATCTGTGTAACGAGGAAAACATGGGATAGATAGAGGGTAAAAACCAGGATGTGATGTGTGGGAAAGGGGTTCCTCAGCCTCCCTCTGCTTCTCTGGCACGGGAAATGCTGTGGGCAGAATGTGGAATATTTTTGTTTGTTTATTTGTTTCTAAGAAGTTTCTTTTCCAGCTAGGAGCAGGGAATCCACGGCTCCTGCTGAAAGGAGGAGGAAGAGGAAGCAGGTGAGTTCTGTCAGGATGTCTCTCACAGCTGCTGGACCCTGCGAGGAGTGATGGAATCATTCAGGTTGGAAAAGCCCTCTGAGGTCAAGCCCAGCCATTCCCCAGCACTGCCAAGGCCACCATGTCCCCAACTGCCACATCCACACAGCTGTTAAACCCCACCACTGCCCTGGGCAGCTGTGTCAGGGCTGGAGAACCCTTTGGGGGAAGAAATTTCCCCTAATACACAACCCAAACCTGCCCTGGCCCAGTCTCTGTCCATGGAAAAGAGTTTTCACTCTTACAGGATGAATTACCAGCTCTGAGTGTTTGATATAAGTAATAATTAAGTGTGGCACGGGTGCAAAAGTAAAATTTTAGGTTTCTAGATTAAAAATTCAGAAGGGACAAAATGGAGGAATTGGGTGTGTCTTGTCCTTTTTCTCCTTCTTCATGCCCTCCATGTTTCACTGTGGTGTTGGCATTTTTCTGTTGGTTCAGGCTGGGGACACACTGTCCAACGTAGGTGACAGATATTGGCACGTTATTGTAAATCCAGCACAGGTAGTTTGTGGTATTTAATGTTTGTACCATCCCACTGAGGGCAGAGCCCCACACGCTGCCCTGCAGGACAGAGCTGCGGCAGGGCAGCAGAACATGTTAGAGATAAACAGAATAAACAACCTTGAAACAGCACAGACCAATTATGGCTTCTGCTTTGGCAGCGGGGCAGAAAGACAGAGACTTTTACAATCTCAGAATCATCAATACCTCAGATTCCAACAAGCCCCAGGACTGTGCCTAGACAGATTTTTAATACCTGCAAGGATGAAGAGCACACAACCTCCCTGGGCAACGTGTGCCAGTACTCCACCAGCATTAAAAATGTGTTTTCCTGAGGTTCAGATGGTGTTTCAGGTGGTGCCCGCAGACTTTGGGCACTGCTGAGAAGATACTGGTTTCATCCTTCCTCCCAGTATTGATGTGAGCTGATGAGATACCTCTGAGCCTTCTCATCCCTAAAAATCCCATCTCTCCCAGACATTCCTTATGGGTGAGGAACTCCAGTGCTTCCCTCATCCTTTATCAAACTGTCCCCTGTGTGTCCATGCCACTGTGGCAGTGGGGTCACAGCACGGTCCTGCAGGGGTGGCCTCACTAACTTTGGGAATGATCCCTCCCTCCTGCAGCCCAGGGTGCCACTCACCACCTTTTACCAAGGGCACACTGATGGTCACTGGTCTCCCCAGTGCCCAGCAGGACCCCCAGCCCAATCTCTGTCCCAGCTGGGTGTCCCTCAGCAAGTGCCTGGCCTTGTTCCTCCCCAAACACCAAGTTCTGCCTCCTTAGGCCAAGGCTGGAGGTCCCACTGCAGTTTCCAGCCCCAACAGCACCAGAGTTGGCCCAGAAATGGACACAGCAGAGGCCTTAAAGCTGATCCTGGCCCGTGTGAGCTCAGGACATGATGACAAGAAAGGATAAGGAAGGCATAATTCCCTCCTCTTTTAAGAAGGAATTATTTTCTGAGCAAGGAATACCCATGCCTGCTGTGCCCATCATTCCTGGAGACATCAAGGCTGGTGGCCCAGGTGGGCAAGAGCCTGATGCCAGCTCCCAAAGGGTGGGCACAGCTTGAGCAGCTCTTTCCTCCCTGTCCCAGTGAGTTTGGGGGAAACAGGCCCAGCACAGGGAGTGCAGAGATGGTCAGTGCTTTATTGGTGGCAGGTGCCTGGCAGGGACAGCAGCACAGGGACCCCAGAGCTCACCCACAGCGGGGTCTGGGTCTGCCCCAGGCTGGCCAGGTCACGGTGGGAGCTGCTGGAGAGGCACCATCCCCATCTCCAGGTGGTCCAGGATGGGGGTGACAGGGCCACGCTGTCACTGCCCTGAGGCTGCAGAGCTCCCACCACCATCCTCCTCCTCCTCCTGGTCTGCCAGCAGCTCCGAGGGGTTGGCACCTCGTTGGGGCAGAGCTCTGGAGGGCTGTTCCTTCTCCAGGCTGCAGCCCAGGCCTGCAGGAGATGGGCAGAGGGAATGGTCAGGAGCTGGCTGGATCCAACCTGTCCCCTGTGCTGGAGGCACCCGTGGGGATCAGCTCTGGGTCACACAGGGCAGGATGAGCCTGTCCAGGGCTGCACCAGAGACCACCCCACAGGGATAAGGAGGGAGAGAACCTTGGGCCTGGAGGAGAAATGGCACTGTGGGGCCATGCCTGGGTGTTCAGGGGCACCCAGGGTGGAGAAAAAGAGGAGGAGGCTGCCCAGGAGCAGAAGGTGGAGATGGCAAAGCAGAGAGAATGGGCTGGGAATGGTGCCTCAGGGGCCATCACCTTCCTCATCCTGAGCCTCTGATGCCTTCCCCTCCGAGCTCTGGGACAGCAGGGCCAGCCTCTTGAGAGCCAGCAGGGCTTTCCCTGTTTTCTGAAGGGAAGAGAACAGACACTGAGCCCTTCAGCCAGAGACACCCCCCTGTCCCCATCATCCCAGCAGGTACCTGCCACTTGCGCCGCGCCAGGAACTGCCTGATCCTCTCCTTGGACAGCACCTTGGGGCTGCTGGGCTGGGGCTGCTGCAGCCAGGGGTGCAGCAGAGCCCCTGCACTGGGGAGCCGCCGGCTGCAGCACACGGGGGGTCATGGGGGGCTCCTGCACCCTCACCCAGAGTGCCCCCTCCACCCGAGGCAGAGCTTTCCCCCACCCATCCCCTCAGCACTCCAAAACCCAGCCCAGCTCCAGCTGAGCAGCCCACAGCCACCCCAGGCCCTACCAGGGCTCCTTCTGCAGCAGTTGGCTGATGAAGTCCTTGGCGTGCTGGGAGATCTCTGAGAAGGTCTCCTCCTCAAAGTCCCACTGGGCAGCTGTGACGTTGCTCAGGGTCTCCATGTCAGTGTCCCCCTGGAAGGGCGACTCCCCACTCAGCCTGCAGAGGTGACCCAGGGCATCAGTGAGAGCTCAGCCCGCTCCAGCCCAGCCTGCCCAGCCCGGGAGGGCACTCACAGGATGTAGCAGATGACACCAACACTCCACATGTCTGTGGAGAAGCTCACGGGCTCAAAGGCGACCACTTCTGGAGCCATGAACTCAGGGGTGCCGTGCAACACCTTCACAGGGGTGCCTGGAGCTGCAGAGAGGATGCAGGAGGCCAGTTGGGATCTCCCTGGCACAGAGGACACACCAACACAGCCCAGGTGGAGGAGCTGCCACCCTCCAAGGCTGCCTGCAGCTCTTGGTGCTCTCCCAGAGCCCCTCTGTGTGCCAAACAGCCACAGGCAGCAGGACTGGGACACACAGCTCTGCCCAGAGCTGGTGTCCCAGGCAGGTCACCAAGCTCCTCGCTGCTGTGCCAGGCCAGATCCTGGGCAGTGCCAGTCCCTGCTCAGACCCCTGGTGCTCACCCAGCTTCCGTGCCAAGCCAAAGTCGATGATTTTGATCCAGTGGCTGTCAGGGCTGATGCAGACGATGTTCTCGGGCTTGAGGTCCAGGTGGACGATGGCCTGGCCGTGCATGAAGTGCAGCCCCTCCAGGATCTGCCGCACGTACTGGGCACTGCTGGGCTCCGTGTGCTCAAAGTCATCGTCCACGATGCGCTCAAAGAGCTCCCCACCTGCCACGCTGGGGACAACGAGCTGTGGGGACACTGTGGGGCCCGAGGAGGGGAAGCCCCAGCAGAGAACCCAGCATCTCTTCACCCTTATCTCCAGGAGCTGTGGGTACCCCATCCACTCCACGGTGCAGTGAGCCCTCCCCACCTGCCACTTGGGGGACAACAAGGTGCTGGGGACCCTCCACACTGGGGACAACAAGGTTCTGGGGACAATAAGGTGCTGGGGACCCTCCACACTGGGGACAACAAGGTTCTGGGGATAATAAGGTGCTGGGGACTCTCCACACTGGGGACAACAAGGTGCTGGGGATAATAAGGTGCTGGGGACTCTCCACACTGGGGACAACAAGGTGCTGAGGACCCTCCACACTGGGGACAACAAGGTGCTGAGGACCCTCCACACTGGGGACAACAAGGTTCTGGGGACAACAAGGTGCTGGGGACCCTCCACACTGGGGACAACAAGGTGCTGGGGACAACAAGGTGCTGGGGACCCCTTTGGGATCTACCAGCCCTGAGGAGGGGAAGCCCCAGCAGAGAACCCAGACTGAGCACTCGAGGTGGACCTCATTGGAGTCACCAGGTTCCCCATCCATCCATCCCACAGCACAGGGACCCCTCCCCACCTTCAGTGCTCCCCCAGCAGAGCCCCACACCTCCAAACCTGACTGCCCCCACTCACTACTCCATCACCATCACCAGCTCAGCAGGGCCCTGGAAGGCATCGAGGCACTGCACGAGCCGTGGGTGGTGCAGGAGGTTCATCAGCTCCACCTCGGCCCGCGCCGCCTGCTTCTCCTTCGCTGTGCGGGTCCGGAAATATTTCCCAGCCCGGATTCTGCCCGTGGCCTTTTCCTGCAGCCTGTACACAGTCCCGAATTTCCCCCTGGCACACAGGAGGAGGATGAGGGATGGAGGAGCCACCACCACAGCCAGGGGCCATCCCAGGGGTGGGGACACAGGACCCTCACTCACTCCCCCAGCTTCTCCAGCTGTGTGTACACATCCAAAATCTTGTCCTGGCTGTTGATGACCACGTCACGGTGCTCAAAGGCCTCCTCAGCTCCTGGGGGATGGATTAAGATGGGCCATGCAGAGATCCCCCCTGCTTTGGGGGCCAGGGGCCTGTCTTCCCCTCCATGGTAATTTCTGTGTCCCCCCTGCTCCATCCCCCAGCCACCCTCCCCACACACTGTGGATGAACCTGGGAGAACGTGGGGACAGGAGCTCCTGGGGCAGCCCAGCACCCTGCAAGTCAGGTTTGGGGTGAAAGGTGCTTTTAGGATAAAAAATCCAAGAGAAATGGGACCAGGATGGGATGGAGATTGGTACTGATAGAGGGGATGGACAGGGGTCACACCATTGCTGGGGTCCCCTCTGGCTCCCTGGGGACAGACCCAGGGCTCTGCTGTACCTCCTGCCTGGGACATGGTGGTGCCACCGGCTCCTCACAGGGCGCTGGCACAGTCAGGACAGGCGCTGGATGTGTCCCCCAGGCTGGGACAGGGCTGCTGAGGCAGGTGATGGCCGTATCTCTGCTCCAGCTGCTCCCTGGGGCTCTGCACCTTCTCCCTGCCACAGGAGACCACCAGCCTCACTCCACCAGCAGCCACACTCCCCATCCCCCCAACAGACCCACAAGGACCAAGCCAGATTTTAAAGGGAGGCTCCTTGTTGGATAGGGACAATCCCTTCCCAGGAGCACCTCAGGCTCCAGACCGATGTTTTTCCCGTGCTGATGTCTTACATCAGCCAGGAAATCCCCAGGAAAATCGCACTTGTAGGGCAAAGGAGCTGTTTCCTTACGCACCCCCTCCATGCTCCATCCCCAGAAAGGCTGGGAGGAGAGACAATGACACCCAAGGGTGTCGGGCAACAGCACCCACACCCCAAGCCGGGGGCCACAGCACTGACCTGTCACTGTCCAGTCCCACCTGCAGGTCGCTGGCCTTTCCCTGTCACTGCAGAGCCGCTGGGAAGCTGGGGAGGGAGGGAAGGGGTGACAGCTGGAACCACACGTATGGGGATGTCTCGGGGTACAGCTGGGAGCATCCCTCCCACTCCGTGCTGGGAACAGCCCGGGCTGTCCCCTCCCTTTCCTTCCCAGCAGGACGCTTCCGGACTTGGGGGACAAACAACCCCCACGAGCTGTCCCCATGCCCCAACACCCCCCTTGGCACCCCAACGCCTGCAACACGGAGCTCGGGCAGAAGAACCCCAGGGCAGGGGGGCTGCAGAGACCCGACACACCTCATTACACGCCAGAGGTCACCCAACCCTCCCCTATGCAGAATCTGGGGCCTCTCACAGGTTAAATCCGCAGCTGACCCAGCCCCGACCAACCCCCGCCTCCGTCCCACCCATGGGTGGGTTGAGCACCCACACCTGCCCCCTCCCCATCCCGGCTCCACCTGCAGCCGATATCCCAGCGGAGCCACCGCTGGCCCCAGCACAAGCCCAGGGCCCGGGAGAGCTCAGCCCCGGCTCGGGGAAGCGGGGTGAAGGTGAATAGGGAGCTGCAAATCTGCTCCGGGCCTCCAGAGCAGGTGTTCTGGAGGAAAAATGTGTTTCCCAGCTTTTATCCCCCAAAAGCAGGAGCGTGCAGCAGCTCTGGCAGTGCTGCCGTTTGCCCGGGTTTAAAGTGGGAAGAACACCGTGATTTCCTCCCGGAGCTGGCTCCAGAGCCGGGATCAGGCAGTGGCACCGCACAGGGACACGAAATGCCAGGGGAGCCCGGTGGCACAGCAGCCGGGACAGAGGGGTGTCCCCTGGGGTTACCTGCGGTCTCGGGGAGCTTTGGGGCGATGCCTCCGGACGGCTCCCGGCGCCGCTCCCAGGCTGGGCTCAAAGTCCGCGGTCTCCTGCAGGGAGCAGGGGACAAACGGGGTCAGCACGACAGCGCTGTGCCTTTGTCACCGCGACCTCGCCAGCGGCGGGGCAGAGCCGGGCCCGGGGGTCCCCCCGCTCCCGGGGCTGAGCGATGCGCGGATGCTCCGGGCTCGGCGGTGCCGCCGGCGCTCGGCTGGACCCCGCTGGGATATCGACTGCGGGGACACGACAGGACACGGGGGTGGCCGGTGGGGCCAGGAGCGTGAGCACGGCGGGGTGAGCCCGGGCGGGCGGTGCGGGGCAGTCCCGGTGCTCGGGGACCCGCCCGGGATCCCGGCAGCCGCTTGATGTCAGTGTCGGCTGACGCTGGTCCCGACGGCAGCACAGAAAGGAGAGAAATGAAAGATTTGGGGTCTGGGGGTCTGTGGAGGGCTGGCAGCACCCACGTCCCGGCGGGATGTGCCGGGATGGAGCAGCCGGAGGGTGAATCCCCCCGGAGCCGCGTTCCCCGTGCACGGAGCATCGCTGCCATGAGACACCGGCGGCGGGGAACGGCGGCTCTGGGCGGGGATCGACACGGATCGATCCTCGTTACCGACAGCGCTGCACTCACCGGCCACTGCCCCGCGCTGTCCCGCACCTTTGCCTCCGGTTTGGGAAGGTGGCCCGTCTGAAATGTCCTTACTCACCACCGACACCATCTCCTTGTGCCTTATAAAATTAATTAATCTGCTTAATTAATCATTAGTAGGCACACCCATTCCAGCTTTGGGAATCAAGGTGTCCCCATCTGCCCCGGGGATCCTCTGGCACAGCCGGGATGGGGACATGGAGGGCACTGTGGCCTTGGGGGCACAGGGGACACCATGGGCATGGGGACACAGGAGGGGACTCAGGGGACTTGGGGGGACCAGGGCAACATGAAGGGGACACAGGGAAGGCAACGGACACTGGGGACACGGGGACATGGAAGCCACAAGGGCCCACAGAGGCCATGGAACAGATGGAGGGATGCAGAAGACGTGCGGGGGACAGGGGACATCGGGGAAACACGGGGGACACTGAGGACGTGGGGGGCACTCCAGGGACAGAGGGACAGCGGCGGTGGGACAGCAGGGACAGCAGGGATGAAGGGACATGGAAGCACAGGGGACCTGGGAAGGTCTGGGGCCACATGGGGGACACGGGCACAGAGAGGGACACGGGAGGGGCGGGAGGGGACACGGGGGGGACACGGGCACACACAGGGGGACATGGGGGGACATGGGCACACACAGGGGGACATGGGGGGACACGGGCACACAGGAGGGGACATGGGGGGACATGGGGGGACATGGGGGGACATGGGGGGACACGGGCACACACGGGGGGACATGGGGGACACGGGCACACACGGGGGGACATGGGGGGACATGGGGGACACGGGCACACACGGGGGGACACGGGGGGACACGGCGGGGGCGGGGCCGCTCGGAGCGGCGCTTCCGGGTTGGGCGGGGCCGGAGAGCGGTACCGCCCTGTGGGCGTGGCCATGACGTCATTGGGCCGGTGGGCGGGGCCAGGCGGGCGCACGCGGTTTTGGCGCCCCGCAGCGCCCGCGGGCGGGAACGGGAGCACCGGGAGCACCGGGAGCACCGGGAATACCGGGAGCAATGGGAGCAATGGGAGCACCGGGGGCAATGGGAGCACCGGGAGCAATGGGAGCACCGGGAGCAATGGGGGCAGTGGGAGCAATGGGAGCACTGGGAGTAATGGGAGCAATGGGAGCACTGGGAGCAATGGGAGCAATGGGAGCTGGACACCAGGAGTGCTGGGAGCTGGATACTGGGCGTGCTGGGAGCACTGGGAGTGCTGGGAGCACTGGGAGCTGGATACTTGGAGTGCTGGGAGCACTGGGAGCTGGGTACCGGGAGTGCTGGGAGCACTGGGAGCTGGATACTGGGAGTGCTGGGAGCACTGGGAGCTGGGTACCGGGAGCGCTGGGAGCTGGGAGCACTGGGAGCTGGATACCGGGAGTGCTGGGAGCACTGGGAGCTGGATACTGGGAGTGCTGGGAGCACTGGGAGCTGGATACTGGGAGTGCTGGGAGCACTGGGAGATGGATACCGGGAGTGCTGGGAGCACTGGAGTATGGGTGCTGGAAGAACTGGGAGACGGGTGTGGAGATCTGGGTGCACTGGGAGCACTGGGAGATAGGTCCTGGGAATGCTGGAATTCCTGGGAACTGGGTGCGAGTGCTGGGAGTGATGGCTGATGCCTGCTGGGAGCACTGGGAGCACTGGGATCCAGGAGCTGGGATGCTGCTGGGTCCTGGTTGCTGAGTGCTGGGGTCAAACCCCATTCTGCAGGATCAGGGTTGTGCAAACATCCACGAAATTATTCCTGCCAGTGTGGAAAGGGTTGTGGTACCCTGGCTTTGGGATGCAGTTGTGCTCAGCCAGACACTCCAAGGTGTGGAGGAGCTAAGATATGACTGGAAAAGACCCAAATACAGGGAAAATAAATCAATCTGGATCTATAAACCACACTACCTCTGGCAGCAGCTCGGGAATCAGCCTGTCCATGTGCAGGGTTGGCTGATCCAGCTCCTCCAGGCAGCCCCGGGACAGAGGGGGGGACAGAGCTGGGCTCAGAGATAAGCCCAACGCCCCGAAGTGTGGGGGTTATCAGCACCCCAGGCTGCTCCTGGCTCCTCCAAAGGCCTGCGTGCTCCCCTGGTGCTCTGCTTGGGGCAGGAGCAGGCAGGGAAGGCAGCAGCAGGCAGAGGATCCCGTGGCTGAGGCTGTCATCAGGCTCTGTCTCTCTGAAAGCACAAAATCCCAGGAGATGGGACACGCCAAACCCCACCTGCACTAGCTGGAGACTGATGTCACAGCTCCTGATACAGAAATCTCCCAGAAATGGGTATTTTCTGGTTGGTAGGGGTGGGTCAGCAGAGGGAGAACATCTGAGAGCTCAGGGGCTGCCAGGAGCATCCCAGAGCTCCTGCTCTGCCTCCCTGGGAGATGCCAGCAGACCGGGGTGGGGGACAGGGACAAACCCTCTGGAGGGGCTGTGACAGGGCCAATGTCCCCATCCTGGGCCTGTGGGGACAGGAACAACCCCCAGAAGCCAGGGACAGCCGGTCCCATGCCTGGAAGCCCCTTCCTGGCATGTGGCACCAATGTCACCAGTCCCCCAAGCTCTGCAAAAAGGGTTCTGTCCCCCTTACTACTGGTCATACTGGGACAGTCCAGGAGGAAGTGGATTTGTCCCCTTCCTCCCCACACAATTACCAGGATTTGGCCCATTTTATACCTCCCCATCCCCTTTCCCATTTAGGAACAGCCAGGCCATATCCAACACCAACCCTCTGGTCAGAAAACATTTGGCACAATTAACCCCCACTCATTAAAATCACATAATGGGGAGGAGAATTTATGATTGAGGATTCACCAGCCCAGGAAAATAAAAGAAAACAAACCTCTGAAACCTCTTTGTCTTCTCATAACATCAGAACTTAATTCCAAATGCTTCAAGTGGCTGGTCAGCCTCATTCCCTGAACTGTTCTTCCCAAAAATCACACAGGGACAGGGCCTGGGCCCAGCCTGCTCCACTAAATGGGAATTCATGATGACCAAACAGAGAGACTTTCTAGGTTTGTAGTGAGGGACTTTTTGTGGGGTTTTCTTTCCTTTTATTTGCAAAATTTATTGCTTATTTTTGCCTTTTACGTGCCCTGAACTCCCAAGGACACATTCCCTTAAAATTCCTGCTGACTGAACCCCCTGTGCACACCCCACAGGGCTCAGCCAGCAAGGGGCACAACCAGTGGGGAAAAATCCCCTTGAAACCCTTGGGAAAGCTCATGGACTCTGCCCTTTGGGTCATTTCTCTCCTTGAGATGTGAGATGGAGGCCAGATAAACCTGGGAGGAGCCCTCTGCAGAGCTGGAATTGGGCAGACGGGTGATTTGGGGGGAGAATTGCCACCCCCTGAGCACACCGAGCTCCCTCACCGTGCTGAGGGGACGCGTGTCTGCTGATTGTGCGCTGTGTGTATTAATTGCGATCCATCTAATTGCGATTCCTGTGTGTCCGCTGTGATCCCCATCTGTGCCTGCTGCTGCCCGGGCCGGTTCTGGAGAAGGACAGAGGCGTTAGCCAGGCCAGGCCTGGAGGCAGGAACCCCCGTTTGGGCCCACTTGGAACCGAACACCCCCTGAGGCGCTGGGGTCACCCCCGAGCCCGGTTCCTCCCTGGATCCTCCCCGCCTCCACACAGGCCGCCCGAGCAAGGCCGTGCAGCCCTCAGGGCCGGTTTTGGTGTCGCCATCCCGGCCAAACCGCCCTCCCGGAGCCCCACGGGCCCTCCCGGCCCACCGGGCCCGCGCTCGGTGCTCGGTGCTCGGCCGGGCCCGGCCGCTCCTCCGCCCCCCGCGGGGCCTCCTGGGGCGGCGAGTCCGCCACCGCCCCGGCCCCTGCACCGCAGCGCGCATCTGGACTACAACCCCCACAATGCCTCGCGGCGGACACGCGCACCGCCTCTTCCTCTGCTATTCGCATTGCTATTGGCTCCGCCGGGCCGTCACGCAGAGGCACGGAGCGTTCTGATTGGCGGGAGGGCGGCGGAGCCGGGACGGCGGCTATGGCGGCCGGAGCGGGAGCGGGAGCGGTGCCGCCGCCGCCATTTTGTGTGTGAGGGGCAGGGCCGGGCCCGCTCCCGTGGCGGGCCGGGGTCCCGCCCGCGGCCCCGAACCGGCAGCCGGGGCTCTATCCCGCGACCCGGCGCTCATGGGGGGCGGTGCCGCGGCGGCAGCGGCCGTTTCCCCGCCAGCGCCCCGGGAGCGGAGCTCGGCGCTGCCCGGCGCCTCACGGAGCTGCGCGGCCTGCCCGGGCTCTGAGCCGCTGCACCTGCGTTACTGCCCGGAGCTGGGGCTGGTTTTCGATCAAAATTAGCGTTAAACGGTATTTTAACGTTTCTCGACAGCCGCAGCCCGGTGTCGTGCGGGGCTGGCCCTGCCTGAGCCCCGTGAAGAGCGGGGAGGGAGGAACAGCGCAGTTTTTATGGCGGGGTCCCGTCCCTCACACTCCGCGGTTTGGGGGGGGAATAACCCCTGGCATTTATTTCATCCTTTGTTTCACACATCGCAGCCACAGCCCGCGGGGTCCCGCAGCGATCCCGGCCGGATCCAGTGGATCTGGGCTAACATGGCCTCCCCGCCGGGAGACTTAAAAAACAAAAGCGTTCGGTTGTTGCCAGGGCCCGGGAACTTCTCGGGCGGTAACAAACACAAGCGACCCCGGGTCGGAGGGAGCGATGCCCCTCCGGGGCTGGGGAAACACCTGCTGCGTTGTTTTCCCCATGCAAAGTCAAACCCCAGCTCTTTAAAAACTAAAAATGGCTTTTTTTTTTTTTTCTTTTGGGGAGGGATTGAGCTGGCGCAGCCTCCCCATGGCTCCTCGGTGGAACTCCAGTTGCCAGCCCCGTTCTTGCCTCGGCAAAGACCAATAACACCAGCTCATCCCCTGGTATTTGTGGGGTTGGGTTTAGGTTTAAAACAGGGAGATTTGGGAGGCTTCTCTAAGTGCAGATTGTGCTGTCAGCCATGGGTCAGCCAGCTAAAACCAGATTATTTTACATTTAGGCACTTGATGGGTGGGGTGTTGTTTTTTTTTTTTTAATTATGTTTGTTGTTGTGACTCTGCAGATGTTGCTTTAATAGGTCCCGAATTCCAAAGCATCATAGGGAAAGGTGATGGCTGCCCCAGCCCTGGAAGGATCAACACCAAGACCACGCTGCACAGGACCTGGGACAGTGGAAGGTGTCCCTGCCCATGGCAATGGGGTGGAATTGGTCTTTAAGTTTCCTCCAACCCAATCCATTCTGTGATTCCATTATATTTTATATCCCAGCTGCATTTCCAGGGCTGGAAGTCTTATTGTGTGTGTCTTCAAATGTTTGTGATAGCTGAAAAAATGCAATTTCAAGCTGATTTTGTCCAACTCACAAGGGTCACGCTTGGTTTGAGCTGAGCTTTGCTCCTGCCCAGGTGTGCCGGGGTTTTTGGGGAGCAGAAGGGGAGCAACTCCAAGGGGCTGCTGTGTCCCAGGGCGGGATCTGGGGTCACCTCACCTCATCCATGGCATGGAGCAGTCTCCATTTTTTGTGTTCATGCTGTAATTTCAGCCCTTTCTTCTGAAAACAAAACCCTTGAGAGGGGAGGAGCTGGGAGAGCCCTTTGCCAGAGGGTTCCCCAGTGCTCTGCGTTTCCAGGTGCCCCAAATCCAGTGTTGGTGTTACCTTCCCACAGCCATGGAGCCCTGGGGAAGTGATTCCTGCCTGGCCTAGTGACATCCCTGTCTGGAGAATCACGGAATGGTTTGGGTGGGAAGAGACCCCCTGCCATGGCAGCAACATCAGCTGCTCCAGGGAGCTCCAAACCCCATCCAGCCTGGCCTTGGGCACTTCCAGGGATCCAGGGGCTGCTCTGGGCACCTGTGCCAGGGCTTGCCCAGCATGGCAGAGGTTGGCACTGGATGGTGTCAGCTCCTTGGCTCCAGAGCTGTGGGCAGCCTGGGGATGGGGGGCTCTCCCCTCGGCCAGGGAGGAGCACGGATGACCTCCCTGTCCATTCCTGATCCACTCAGAGGTTTCAAAGGTCCCCAAATGTCCCTGGTGTGTGTCTGCAGGAGCTGCACTGGGCCCTTGGGATCGGGATAAAGAACAAAGCAGGAAAAGGTGGTGGGGGTGGAGGAGATTGGCAAGTTGATCATTATGGTCCTTTCAGTTGGTTTGTTTGGGCTGGCTTTTTCTAAGTTGTATTTTTTAAAGCATTTGCAGAGAAAACATTGTCCTGTCCCCTCTGCCCTCTGCTCCCTGGTGAAGGCTGTTTTCCGCTGTGGAGCAGCAGGGCTTTGGCCAGGCTGGGGTTAAAACCGGTGGGACTTTTCCAGCCCCCGACTTCAGATCAGCCTCAGCCCTCCCCTCCTTCACCCTCCATGGCCCCCTCTGCCCCCCAAAAAAGCTTCACCCCCTCCTCCCCCTCTCAGGTGCAGCTTCAGCCATCGCCTTTCCCCACTCCCTGTCAGCCATTTCAGAGGCCAAGTGCTGACTACCAAAACTTTTCCTTGGGCTGCTCCGAAACTTTTAAGGTTTTTCCTCTCACTTGTAGATTGAAGTAGATTTTTTTGGGGGCAGTTTTTGCCCAGATTTCAGTTAATGACCTGGATTCCTGCAGAGCTGTGGGGAAACAGTCAAGTTGAAGTGAGCCTTAGGCAAACAGACAGACTTGAGGCTACTCCTCCCTCTGTGTCCATCACACACCATTTTACCCCCCTTCCAGGTACTTTTAACTATTTCAGCTCATTAAGCTGAATTAAAGTTGAAAACAAATGGGAGAAAATAATAACAAAAAGGATTGAGTGGGGAATTACAACTAAGTTTAATCAAACAACAGTTATAACAGACGAAAATAATCCAGGATGTATTCCCTGGTGGAATGCCATTCTGATTATTTTCGAGAAATCACACCAAAACTATTACAGTTACAAGTAATTAAATTTATTAGACCTCTGTATTTTTTATAGTCAGTTTTGGCCAATTTACAGCTTTTCTGGGGATTTTTTTTTCTTTTTTTGGTTTAGACACAAAAAAAAAAAAAAAAAAAACAAACCAAAACCATAAACCAGATATCACCAATACATCAACCCCCCCCACCTCGCCCCGTCACAGCCACCTAAAAAAGGAGGACCCTCGGCCCACCCAGCTGCAGTTTAGCCCATAAAAAGGGTCCGCGGCGACTCTGTACAAGGACCGAATGTTCCACCCAGCACTGTAAAACCCCCCCCGCACCCCCGTGCCCAGTGTCACTCCCCCGGCTTGCAGGGGCCCTTTTCCTGCCGGGGCAGCTCCTGCTCCCGCAGCAGCCGCAGGTTCTCGGCTCGCAGCCTGTCCACCTCCCGCTCCAGCGCCTGCACCCGCGCCGGGTCCGCCGCCTCCCCGCCGGCTTTTTTGCTCTCCATCCTCAGCCGGTTGTTCTCCTCCTCCATGCGCGACAGGCACTTCTCCAGCTCCAGGTACTCCTTCACCAGCTCCTGCTTGCTCATGTTCTGCAGGCTCTCCACATGGTACCGCTCGTAGGTCTCCGAGAAGTCCCTCTGCAGAAACTCGCTGCCGTCCCCCCCCATCCCGTCGCTGCCCCCGTCCTCGTCGGCCGCGTCGTCCAGGAAATCCTCCTCGCTCGTGTCGTCCGACTTGGCGGCCGCTCGCCGCGGGTACAGCCCGGTTTTCAGGTCGGGCTCCTCCTGGTCATGGTCCTCCATGAGGAACTGCGTGGTGTTGTAGGGAGCCACCGGCTGCCCCTTGGCGAACATCTCCGCTCGCAGCCGGGAGGCGCGGAGGCTCTGCCGCTCGTCGAACTGCTGCTTCTCCTCCCAGCTCAGCTTCGAGTACGGCTTCCAGCGCCGCTTCTTCTTCGACGGTCGCCGACGGTGCTTCTTCTTCACCGGCCACTCCTCGGTGCGTCCCACGGCCCGGTACCGCGGGCCCAGGCCGGGACGCCCCGCTCCACCCGCCGGTGGCCGCCCCTCGGCGCCGCCCGCCGCCGCCTCCGCCCCGGGGGGCGGCAGCCGCCCGGCATCGCCGTCCTCCGTCGGCGCCTCTCCGCGCTCCGCCTGCGGCTCGGGCTCGGGCTGCGGCTCCGGCCGCGCCTCGGGCTCGGAGCGAAGCTCCGCTTCGCACTGGGGCTCCGGCCCCGGTTCGGCGGGGGCCGCGTCGGCCATAGCGCTGCTCTCGGCTACGCTCGCTGACGGGCGCTACCGGCGCCGCATGGGGCTGGCCCCGCTCAGGCCGCCCGGGACATGGCCCGGGGGAGGTTTAACGCCGCGGGGCCCGCCTCCCCGCGCGCCCCGCACGCGCCGCCGCCGCCGCCGCTCCCGCCGCGATCCCCCCCACGGCCCGACCCGCGCCCGCCGCCGCCCGCTCCCGACTGCCTCACCTCGGCCGCGGCCGCCCGCTTTATAGCCGCGCGCGCCCCGCCCCGCCCCGCGCAGGCGCGCTGCGCGCCCCGCCCCGCCCCGCGCCGGGCCCCGCCCCCGCCGCGCGCCCCGCGCCGCCGCCACGGCCCCGCGCGCGCGGGCGGTGCCGCCTCGCGGCCAATCAGCAGGCGCGGGGGGCGGGCCGGCCCGCCGGGACACGCCCCCGGCCGTTGCGAGGACCGGCCGCCATTGGCTGGGACGGACGTCACTCGTGCGCGGCTTCACCAATCGCGAAGGGGCGAGGGCGGGACCGGGCCGTACCACGCGGCGGGGGAGTCCCCGTGCGCGGGCCCGCGTGCGCCCCGCGACCTTCAGGCCCGCACCCCCCCCCCCCGCCCCGCGGCGAGGCTGTGGCACGGTCCGAAGAGTCCCCGCGCGGCGGAGGCGCCGCCGGTGGTGCCGCGGCCCCGGGACCGGGGGGGTTCTACCGGGCCGGACCGGGCCTGACCGGGCTGTGCGAGGGCCGGGAGGGGCTCCGGGGGTGCGCGGGCGCGGGGGGAAGGGGGCGAGCGGAAGGATCCCGGCGCTGTGTGGAGTGCGGCTGTACTGCAGTTGGCGGAGGGAGATGTAAACAAACCGAAGCGGAAAGAAGTCCTTTCTTAAAGGCGCCGCGTCCCTTTAGCCGGGGCGGGGCGGAGCGGCGCCTGGGGGAGCGGGGGAGGGGCAAGGCCAGGAGGGGGATGGGGATGGGGATGGGGGGTCCCGGGCCTTGTGCTGACCCCGGTCCCGGTCCCGGTCCCGGTCCCGCCACCCGCAGCCACGGTGGCGATGTCCCCTCGGGCCCCACGTTCGGGGGCCCCGCTGGGGGACACGGGGCGGGGGGAGCCATGGACGGCCCTGGGGGCTGCCGGGGCTCCGTGTCTGGGGGGAGCAGCACGGGGGAGTCACCCGTGCCAGCGGCGGGGCCAACCTGCCCGGCAGTGCCCACCTCGGGGTGACACCGCCCGGGGGTCCCCGGGGAGCGGCCGGTGTGACACGGCCCGGCGGGGGCACGGGGACCAAGGGAGGGGACCGGGGACGGGCCGGGGCGTTTGGCCGCGGTGCCTCCCCCGGCAGGGCACAGGCAGCGGGGCTGGACCGAAATGCAGCTTTAATGGAGGCGGCTCGGTGCTGTGCCGGGCCCGTGGCTGTCCGTGCCCCGCGGGGCCCGGGCCGGTGCCGGTGCCGGTGCCGGTACCGGGAGCCCCGTGGCTGCTGAGGCGGTTCCCGCGTGGCTCCGTGGCTCGTGCGAAGCGGGATGGGCAGGGAGGGTGGCGGTGGCGGTGGGGACGCGGTGGTCACCTCCGCCTGCCCTGCCAGCGGCGCAGCAGCCACTGCGTGACGAAGGGCCAGGCGGCCAGGAACAGCAGCGTGCGTGGGGACACGGCCAGGCGCCACCGGGACACGCCCTGCCGAGGGGACACAGGTGTCACCCATGCCTCTGCTGAAAGGAGCCACCGCCATGCTCGGTGGCCGTGTCCCCATGGATGTCACCTGCTCCCCAGCCGTGTCCCCACGCCCCCGTGGGCTGTCGGGTGGGCAGGAGGACAGTGAAGAGCACTTCTTCACCCCCAACTCACCTGTGCAGCAAGTGCCGGGCCGGGCTGTGTCCCAGCTGCCTCCCCCTGCAAGACAGGAGAGGGTTTGGGGTGCAGGCGGGGCTGGCACCCCCCTCCCAGCCCCTGTGCCCTGCGAGAGGGAGGGGATGGCCTGGAGAGTCCTGCAGGGCTCCTGGGAGGATCAGAGTGGTGCAGCTGGGCCAGGAGCCCAGGGGCAGCGGGAATGGGGGGCAGTGGGAACGAGGGGGGCAATGGGAATGGGGGGAAAACAGGGCTGAGGGGGCAGTGGGAATGGGGGGAAAACAGGGCTGAGGGGGCAATGGGAATGGGGAGGGGCACTGGGAATGGGGGAACAGTGG